TTCTGATTAAAAATAAGGAAGTTAGGATTTTTGAAGTTGTGATCAATCAGAAACAAATTGGCAACTCTATGACGTATCTCTCTCTCTTGTATCCTTCCTCCGCTCAGTACTAAAAAAATCTAAAATTTTCATTTTCCCTCAAGAAAAATTTCAACCATACATGCACCCTAAATATAATAATTGCAAATATGTTTCTATACTCCCCCTGCAAGGAACAAATATATATTCCGTCATCAATAACGAAGAAAACATGATTTTATGGAATATTATGCACAAAGCAAATGAAGGAGAGCTTGTATAATAAGTCACAGAGTTGCCAATTTGTATTTGATTGATCACAACTTCAATAATTCATAACTTTCTTATTTTCATTCAGAATTTGCTCAAACTTTCACTCACCTGATTTTCTTATTATTCTGCCTCTATCGAAACAAACTTATTTTGGGGGTGGACTTTCCCTTTAACAAATTATAGAACCATAGAGTTGGAGTTATTTCATTTGTCCATGCACTTGTCACAGAGGCTCACTAAGTAGCATGGACTGAAAGTACACAAATTTATTATACAATATTTTGTTCATCCTGAAATTTATCATTATTTCGTAAAAAGTCTACCCTACCTGTTACTTTAAAGGGCCACTCTAACCCAACTAACATAGCATTTTAAAACATAAATACACCTCTACTTACATGTATTATTATTCAAGCCTCAGATTTTTCAGAAAATCTCTATCTTGACCAAAAAATGATAATAATAGTCCATTTTGCACAGATCTCACGCTTGCTGGGCTACGCCCCTCGTAAAAAAGGTAATACGGTCTTGTGGCTTGATGACGCATTTGACGTCATTGCCGGCATATCCGATTTGATAATTTGATAATTCGGAATGACAAAATTGCCAGAAATGTCCTGGGATTATCAGTATTCGGTCTATTCCCAGTATTCGGTCAGACAGCCGTTTCAACAGCTGTAACAATTTAAAAAATAATTTATGAGCCACTAAACTTGCACAAATCAGGCAGCTGAACAACTTTTCTTAACTCTCAAAATTAAATCAGATTTAGGGCCCCGGAAAGATCTCCAACTTAGCTCGAAATTGGTCAGTGTCGCACAACTTTCCGCACTTCCGCGTTCTCTTAGCACATGCGCTAACATGCATTGCCATATGTAGAAGTCTATTGCGAAACAACTACGTGTGCTGTCACAATGAATTTAGTATGTGTGTGAAGAGAATCACTTCCGTGTTCGCTCCATCGCAGCGAATTTGCAAATGACGCACTTGCCGATGTGCAAGAGGTATTTATACGATACCCTTGCCATGCGGTATCGCTCAGCCAGTATTCGGTCAACGCATTGACATTCAGTGCTTTATCGCGCAATTGTGTGAAAAAAGTGCGCAAATACGCTACGCTCCTTTGCAACGGAGATACCACGCACAAATCGGGTGACCGAATTCTAATCGGCGCGACCGAATTCTGGGCAGAAAAATGCTCCGTCTTCTTTCGGAAGTATTTTGCTTATCATTATTCTATATTTTAAGTGACTATAAAATCCTGTTAGAGGAATAAATTTCTTTTCTTTCGATGGGTACATGTAGATTGCCAAATGAAAGAGGTAAGAATTCAAAATATTAGTGATTTCCCCTTAAGTGACCGAATACTGGGTACTCTACCCTAGCCTGTTTTGGTTAGAGTGGGGCAATTCCACGGTAACGGAAGGACACTCAGACAAGATTTTTGAACTTCAGGTTCATACTAAAAGAACTGTTTTATTAGTATAAGATGTGAACAGTACAGATATAATACCTATATAAGTGCCTTTAATTCTCCCCCAAAAATTGTCATTATAGTTAAGTAGTTTAAGAATGTGCATATTAATTATCTCGGTAACGGAAGGACATAAAAATGGACATGGTTTTTCCAGTTAATTAGTGTTTATCCAAACTTTGTGAAGTTGATGAAGCTTTCCACTTGATTGAAACACATTTTGTTCCCCATAGTTTAATACATACTAATAAAACATTTCTTTTAGTATGAACCTGAAGTTCAAAAATCTTGTCCGAGTGTCCTTCCGTTACCGTGGAATTGCCCAGTGGTCCTTATCTACATGTACATAATGTACACTGTATGTGTATACTACAAATTTATAGTTTTAATTGTTATCTTTTTACAAGTGGAAAAAAACACTTGAACATTTGTCAAGAGCCAGAAGGATGTCGCCCCATCTCCTTCCCCGCAGAGTTAATGCACTCCTGGCTCTCAAACAGACCATATCTCCTTTTGCTTGATCCTAATTTATAATCAATGACTCGGTGGTGTGTATTTGATGAAGTTAAGACAAATTGCACGAAGTTCAAGTAGCTTCCACATGCATGATTTCAACACAATCACGATTGTTTATCAGTCAATAGTAAATCAGTGTCGCAGATGGTGAGAATGGTACCAGCTGTGCTTGAAGTAGTCTCGCCTCACAGACTCTATTCTTGTACTTGAGAGCTCTGCCAAAAACTCATATCTTGCAGCATCAACGGGGTGGAATTCTGAAGAAAAAAATATCATCTTTTCTGTTTGTAGGATCTACCTGTCATACATGTAACAACTCAAAATTAGGAAACCTAGTAATTAGTTAATGGTGGTAGAAAGCTGACTGCTAGAAAGATAGACATCTGCACAAGCACCATGTATTCATTCCACTAAATTTCAGTTTTTCCTTGCATTAAAGGTAATATACAAAGTTTTGGTATGGGGTCATGAATTTGGTTCAAATGAACATATTGGAAGCATATGTGATCCTACAATATTAAGTCATCGTTGTCTCGGTTGAAATCGAGTCTAACGTTATGAAATTATAAACAATTATACTGTATAGCTCCCTCTCAAGGTCAAGATATTAATTAAGCTATAAAACAATGTTTTTTGACTAAAATCGACCGACTAGCTATTCCTGTTTGGAAATTATATATCACAACTACATATTCAGAGATTTTCATGGTCGCAGCTACTATTGTTTGGCCGTAGGAGCTATTTGAAATTTATCAAAATTTACCGGGAGCACCAGTAAATTTTTATATTCCATTTTTCTCGAAAGCAGCAGTGTTTTAGGGCTAGATTTTCTAGTGCTTATAATACATCCACAGGGGCATCCGAATGTATCAAAATTGTAAAGAATTACTATCCACCCAATTTTCAAAATTTCCCAAAACTTTGTATTACCTTTAATATCAATTTCAATGGAAAACTTTGATCCTTTCGACTTAGTTCAGGCAGCACATGGATCAAAACCAAAACAAAGAAGAATTCTGGTGGCTTATTTGTCATTTTTAGCCAACACAAGGTGTCACTTGTAAAGTCTGGAGCAGAAGAATAACCCTCAACTAGTTGCGGTTGATTGATTAAATGTATGCTCTTCACACACCATGGTTAAACATATGGATTCTGTGATCAACAGTAGTTTATTAGACGCTGACAAGTGTTTTCCCTCTCCATGTTTTTATTCAAGTACTGAATTACATTGAAGATAAATGCTGACATTTAAATTTGTGTGTGCATATTTAGAATAGTATACAATGCACACATACATCTACATAATATGTACATTAAATAAGTGTGTTTGATTATAGAGTGGTGAAGTGTGACGTCATCAAAAAACTATTTTGGGGGTTTCTCAATTTTTTTTCTTCATTTTCCGAAAGAGCATCAAAAATAATGTCTGAATGTCGAAAACCAATTTAATATATGTTAAGTATTGGCTGAGATACATGTATATGGCCATCTGAATAAATAGATGTCCTATAGGAACTCAGTGTTATATTGCTCTGGCCCGTAATGTTATGAAATTCCAAGAATAGATTTTCATGATGTCACAGCTTTGGTACTCTATACGATATATGTATATTCTTAATCAGAATCATATTCAGACATTTCAATCCATAGCAGTTTGGTGTGCACCTTTAAGTGATGGTTTAAATATCTTTTGATCCAGAATGCTCTGACTTTAATACAAAATGAACAAGGAGCAAATGAGTGATTGAGCTCGAAGTGCAAAAATCACTGGAAAATTTGAGTCTATTAATTGTGCTATTCACATGAAGGAGAGCAATTAATCAAAAATAATCATTGGAGTCTCTAGATTGGCAACACAGAGTCTAAGGATGTACAGAATGGCAATTTCTTGATGAATTGTTGTAAATTTTATTTCACTCTTTCATTTATGAATACATTTTTTGTTCAACTATGAAAGAGTGGCAAATGCAATTAATTGATGCTAATTTGCTAAGGAGCTAAGCTGATTCCCAAAATATTTATAGAAAACTCTTAACTGCTAAGGGTTAATTAGTATATTTTCATTTCATATTTCCTAAAAGGATGTACATGTACATGTACATGTACTGGAATAGATCCAAGGCCCTTTATAACTTATAAGTGTGTTATACAGTAGGCCCTCACTAGAATATGTACCCCCCAAATTGATATTACAGTGTCATATTGCTTAATATTTTGTATTTTGTACAGTTGAAAGCTGGTCAAATTTAGTGCAACCACCGTAGTCAATATAATTTGACTCTTGTATCACTTTTGTGAGTGATAATATTGTCGCTTTTTTGCTCTTAAAACAGTACAGGGATGCAAAAAAAAATACATGTACCCACAAATTGTCTTCAAAGTATTTTTTATGTGATATTTAATACATTTGAAAACTGCTGAAATTTAAAGCTTAACAATAATAGTCTACTCAGGGAATAATTTTCCTCAAATTTTTTGATTAGCAATTTCAGCCGATGGATAAATATTTCAAATGAAATTCTGTACATTTCTATGGAAGAAAACTGCTACACAAAAGATATTTTGTATAGCAGTCATGCAAAAATGCATAGCAAATTGCGATGCGATACCAGGAAAATTATTCCCTGCTACTATACATGTATAGTTGAACCCATTTATCTTTTATATCTGTTCTTGTAGGTGCCACTTCAATGTTGTTAAATAGATATCAGGCATTATTATTTTCTTTTATTCTTTCAATGCATTCAGATCATCAGCGTAGACAGTTTAAAGCAGACCGGTCGAAGGGCAAGTACACAAGAGGTGTACCGCCATCTCCGCAGTCAGATACCTCCCTCTGTAACCAAGGAACAGCTCTCCCCGCCCCCACACTGGTCCCACTACAAGACGCTCTCCGTCGTCATGGAAACCAACAACAAACGCCAGAACCGCTTCATCCAAGTGCAGTCGCCCCCCTCCATCTATCCACCGGACAACGTTCTCCTGATTGAGTACGAATGCCTGCCAGGCGAGACGGCCGCCGTTGAAGTCGAGGTGTGGACGGTCTACAACCAACGCTTGCGCACAGTCAGACACGACTGGAAGTGCAGTGAGCACTCCAAACACTTGCGGAAAGTCTTTCAAACGTTACAGCTACCCGACGGCGTCGTATATCAACCGGACTACTTGAACCGGGATGTCCAGATCATCGAAAGGATTGAATTGTCTGTATGGATATTAAGCACGGACCTTGTCAGGTCAAGGAGGAGAGGGTATTATGAGGCGGCCACCGCGAAAGCGAGGTACAGCGTGCAGGTTCTGTCCACGTATGCCAGGCCGAGGAAGAGACATCACAGCATCGGGTGCTTGACCTGGGAAGCAGAGATGATGCTGAGACACAGCCGACGGTGGAATGGAATCCTACAGTGCAATAGAGAAAAGGGTAAAGTGTAAAACATTCAAGTCACCCTGTTTTTTGGATTCAAAGGGTACATACAGTATATCTGAAATTTTTGTTAGGTGGTGTGCTTATTTAATACTTTGAAAAATTCAAACAAAAAGTAAAAAAAAAAAAAAATCAAATTTTTTTTTGGAAGGGTAAAGGTTACTGAAATTTTTGTTTGGTGATGTGGTTACTTTATACTTTGGAAAATAAACCTACCGCAGGGCTCGAATTACCCACCGGCAATCGGCAATTTGCCGCCATGCCCCTCTCACTGGCCGGAATGCCCTTTTCAAAATCAAACCGTTTACGGCCACAATATTTTAATCCACAAAAGTTTTGCCGACATTATAGTCATCGTAAGCCAACCCGACTTGTAATGTTCAAAAAGGTTTTGTTGCCCATACAGAGCTCTAAAAACAATGATAGTCGGCAAGGTTTTGTTGCCCCTCCGGAGCTTTAAAAACAATAATTACCGGAAGGTTTTGTTGCCCCTCCGGAGCTCTAAAAACAATGATAGTCGGCAAGGTTTTGTTGCCCCTCCGGAGCTCTAAAAACAATAATAGTCGGCAAGGTTTTGTTGCCCCTCCGGAGCTCTACAAACAATATTTATCGGCAAGGTTTTGTTGCCCCTCCGGAGCTCTAAAAACAATTATTACCGGAAGGTTTTTTTGCCCCTCCGGAGCTCTAAAAACAATGATAGTTGGCAAGGTTTTGTTGCCCCTCCGAGGCTCTAAAAACAATAATAGTCGGCAAGGTTTTGTTGCCCCTCCGGAGCTCTACAAACAATATTTATCGGCAAGGTTTTGTTGCCCCTCCGGAGCTCTAAAAACAATTATTACCGGAAGGTTTTTTTGCCCCTCCGGAGCTCTAAAAACAATGATAGTCGGCAAGGTTTTGTTGCCCCTCCGAGGCTCTAAAAACAATAACTATCGGAAGGTTTTGTTGCCCCTCCGGAGCTCTAAAAACAATATTTATCGGCAAGGTTTTGTTGTCCCTACGGAGCTCTAAAAACAATAATAGTCGGCAAGGTTTTGTTGCCCCTCCGGAGCTCTCAAAACAATAATTACCAGAAGGTTTTGTTGCCCCTCCGGAGCTCTAAAAACAATAATAGTCGGCAAGGTTTTGTTGCCCGTCCGGAGCTCTAAAAACATTAATTATCGGCAAGGTTTTGTTGCCCCTCCGGAGCTCTAAAAACAATAATTACCGGAAGGTTTTGTTGCCCCTCCGGAGCTCTAAAAACAATAATTACCGGAAGGTTTTGTTGCCCCTACGGAGCTCTAAAAACAATAATAGTCGGCAAGGTTTTGTTGCCCCTCCGGAGCTCTAAAAACAATAATTACCGGAAGGTTTTGTTGCCCCTCCGGAGCTCTAAAAACAATAATAGTCGGCAAGGTTTTGTTGCCCCTCTGGAGCTCTAAAAACAATAATAGTCGGCAAGGTTTTGTTGCCCCTCCGAGGCTCTAAAAACAATGATTATCGGAAGGTTTTGTTGCCCCTCCGGAGCTCTAAAAACAATATTAATCGGAAGGTTTTGTTGCCCCTCCGGAGGTCTAAAAACAATAATTACCGCAAGGTTTTTTAGCCCCTCCGGAGCTCTAAAAACAATATTTATCGGCAAGGTTTTGTTGCCCCTCCGAGGCTCTAAAAACAATAATTATCGGAAGGTTTTGTTGCCCCTCCGGAGCTCTAAAAACAATAATAGTTGGCAAGGTTTTGTTGCCCCTCCGGAGCTCTAAAAACAATAATTACTGGAAGGTTTTGTTGCCCCTACGGAGCTCTAAAAACAATAATTATCAGCAAGGCTTTGTTGCCCCTACGGAGATCTAAAACAATGATAATCGGCAAGACTTTGTTGCCCCTACGGAGATCTAAAACAATAATTATTGGCGAGACTTAATTTCCACTATGGAACTCCTAAATTAATTGGCGGGACTTAATTGCCGATACGGAGATATATGAAAGCATATCTTCATCGAAATGACTGAAACGTTTGGCACAAAAACCGTAATGACTCAGGCTTAGTTTTTCAATCCATCCTTTTTATTTGAACCAATCAATATCGGGAAGTTTTGTTTACCCATCGTTGGTTCAACATCTTTACTTCGCGTTGTGACCTTTTTTGGTGCGTTTTCACAGTTTTTAATCAGTGAAAAACTTGGATTTTTCTCGGGAGGAGGGTCTGGAATTAAATCAGAAAAGGATTAAGAGTCGAGATAATGGTACAAAGAATCGTCTTCTTTCCCATACGTTTTAATTAAAACGTCATAGCTTCCGCCCATCGCGCGGGAGGAGTGTGAATTGAGTTCAGAAAAGGATAATACCGGTAGTCGACATCGAGACGAATCGTCTTCTTTCCCTAATAATTTATTAAAAACGTCTAAGCTTCCGCGCTTTCCTTGGAATTCAGAAAAGGATAAAGAGTCAAGAACGGCACAACGAATCATCTTCTTTCTCTAATAATTCAATGAAACGTCAAAGGGGGAAACTCCCCCCCCCCTCCAGCTCCCTCCCCCCTCCAGCTCCCCCCCCCTTAATTTTTTTTTGAAAAGCATTTTAAAGAGAAATAGAAAGAAAGAGAGCAAGAAAGAAAAAATAGTTAACTACCAGTTTCTCAACAAAATAAGGTATCAAAAATTGCTCATCTGATCGTAATTAAACGCCTAAAACCCCTGAGCTTCCGTGGGCTCTGCCCCCGGGACCCAACCAAGGGCCCTTTGGCAGGCCTCTTGATACTCATCTGACTGCAATTTAGTGCCTAAAACCCTTGATCTTCTGGGGGCTCCGCCCGCTGGACCTCACGCCAATCAGTGTTCTGCCAGTGTCACAAATAAAGTATAAAAACATGTTCATCTGACCGTAATCAAATGCTTAAACCCCTGAGCTCCGGGGGCTCTGCCCCCTGGACCCCACTAGATGCTAATCTGACGGTAATGTAATGCTTTAAACCCATGGGCTTCTGGGGGCTCCGCCCGCTGGACCTCACGCCAATCAGTATCCTGCCAGTGTCACAAAAAAGGTATAAAAATATGTTCATCTGACCGTAATCAAATGCCTGAAACCCCTGAAATTCAGGGGTTTCCGCACCCTCGACTCCACCAGGGGCCCTGAGGCGGGCCCCTGAATGCTTATCTGACCGTAATTTGCCTTCAACCCATGTGTTTCCGGGGGCGAACAAGGTATCAAAAGATGTTCATCTGACCGCAGGCACATAGCCGGGGGGGGGGGGGGGGGCAGTGGGGGCGCCCCCCCAAAAAAAAGCCAAAAAAAGAGAGGAGAGAAAAGGAAGAGGACGTATGAAGAAAAAGGAGCAGACAAAAAACATTTTTGAAATTCAGACAAGGATTAAGAGTCGAGAACGGTACAACGAATCGTCTTCTTTCTCTAATGATTTAATGAAACATAAAAGCTTCCGTGCTTTGCGCGGGAAAGGGAAAACTGTATTCATGCAGGCGAGGATTATTTTCGAGAACGGTACAATGAATCGTCTTGTTTCTCTAATAATTAAATTAAATGTCAAAGCTTCCGCGCTTCGATCGCGCAGGAGGTGGGGGAACTGAATTTAGACAAGGATTAAGAGTCGAGAACGATACAACGAATTGTCTTCTTTCTCTAATGATTTAATAAAACGTAAAAGCTTTCGCGCTTTGCGCGCGCGGATGGGGGGGGGGAAACTGAATTCAGACGAGGATTAAGAGTCGAGAACGGGACAACGAATCGTCTTCTTTCTCTAATGATTTAATGAAACGTAAAAGCTTCCGAGCTTTGCGGGGGAGGGGGGGGGGATGAATTTAGACGAGGATTAAGAGTAAAAAACGGTACAACGAATCCTCTTCTTTCTCTAATGATTTAATGAAACGTAAAAGCTTCCGCGCTTTGCGCGGAAGCGGAGAAAGGGGAACTGTATTCAGACGAGCAGGCACGTACGCAGGGGGGGGGGTTTGGGGCGTTAAACCCCCCCTTCGGTTTTTTTATGTCTGTATTTTGGAGCAAACCCCCCCCCCCCCATTTTTTTTTTTTTAAATGAAACACACAGACAAAAAAAAATTATGCCAATGGCTGATCTAAAAAAGGTGACCTCACCCCCCCCCCCCCCCCCCACCCCTCCCCCCAACCTCAAAGGGAACAAAATGTCAAATTTTCAAATTTCAATGGTTGGCTGAGTCGTTGCGATTTTTTTTGGGGGACAAAAAATAAGTGCCCCCCCCCCTAAGGAAGAAATCCTGAATCCGCCCCTGGGTGCACATATCCCCCCCCCCCACCTTGAAAACAACGGCGTGAGGTGATTTTACGCGCACTTTCCACGTTGGCCTTAGTGCCCCTTAGGATAGATTTGTGCCCCTTTCAGTGGATTTGTGCCCTCTCAAAAAAGTGGCCTTGACCCAAATTTGATGTAATTCGAGGCCTGCTACCGGTATATGTACATGTATAACAACAATTTTTGCTGCTCATAAAACTGCATTAAAGATGCTAATTTGACAATCTAAAGCAAACAAAATGCAGCTGTGTGCATGATGTTTTAAGGAATACACTTAGTGTGCATGTACATGTACATTATGTACAGTATGCGTTAAAACTGTTTTGCTGATCATGAGTCATTAAAGTAGATTTTGTCATTTAATTGTATAAAATATGATGGGTTCCTTCAAAGTGTGCTTTAGTTGAGAAGATCCCAGCCTTGTCAGCGGGTGGATGAAAAACTTTATACAGAAGTAGCAAGATTATCATTTTACTATACATATTTCTTATTTCAACAGAGGTCATTGACCTAATGACCTTCCCCGTAGCCCTCCACAACGGATTACACGGTCTTTCAAGAAACATCCCTCCGTATAAAGAACCAGGCCTGAGACAGCTCATGGATGCCAATATCAATAACCCCAAGTGAGTAGACCAGTGAAACCTGTATATAAAGATAACTCAAGGGTGACAAGAAAAGTTGTCTTTATAGACAGGTGGTCTTTCTGTACAGGTCCCTTTAGTACAGATCTAAATGAGAAACAATTGTCAAAGGAAACAAATTGTGTTGTCTTTTTGGACGGGTGGTATTTATATACAGGTGGTCGCTAAAGCAGGTACTACATTTCTATCTACTTAGTCTGCAGGCACAGGCTCTAATACCACCAAACCTAACAAACTATTACATTAACCCTAATGGCGCCAAATCGGTCAGTTGGAATCAGTCTTTAGTCTTTAGTGTTGAAGGACCAATTTGAGTACAATTAAACACAACTTACAATGTATGAGTAATAGGAAGAGATCTTCAAGGTAACTTCTGCTGGCTATGATTGCAGGGATTTCCGCCGATTTCAAGATTTTTTTTTCCTTCTAATCCTTACCGTAACCCTAACCCAGGACCCCCATTTAATCTTTCTCCTTTTGAGGAATTTCTCTGTCTCATCCCTTTGATTTACAATCACATTTGATTTTATGACGTCTCGCAATTTGCAGTATGAAAAGAAAAGTCTTGCTTGGTATACTTTTTCATAAGGATTCCATATTTTATTATCCAGGTTTACGATATCTGCATACATCTACATCACCGAATACTGCAAGCATTCCATGTGTAGCCTCATTCATCGCAAGACACAGTACACCAATAGATATGTTACTCCCCTTATCTTCTTAAGAAACGATGGTAAGTCTGAAACCTAATGAAAACATTTGTTTTAAAGGCCCACTGCACTACTTGTAGCTACTTGCGCCCTCTATATAACAAACAATGCCTAATCGGTGACCATTGGTCCCCCATGATCCTCTTTTTCTTATGTTAACTGAGAGCTGAGTTGATGAGATAATCACCTGTCCAGTGACCTTGCAGGGCGGTCTAATCCCTCCTGTAAACTACGGCAGATAAACTTTAAAGAAATGCATTGGAAAGTATCACTGGAGAAACCTGAAAGCAAGAAAAGACAAGTATTAGAGTTAGATTTGGAAGAAATTATATATGTTACGTGTAGATGCTTAACTTCTTATTTAAGAAATCAAATCAAAGTTTTTGATAGATCTCAATCAAAAACATACAATTGTAAAGGCAGTTCAATGTAAAATACACAAGAACGTCGAGTCCAATAAATTAAAGTAAACTGAGAATGATAAGAGGGGAAATAGGGCCCCTGTAGAAAGCAGGAATGAACTTGTAGGTATCGGGTTCTAATAAGAACAAAACAACAGCAAAATAACACATTTTGTGATTTGGTTTTTTGTGTATGCCTTTGGAAGATTCTGTAAATTCATTCCTTTTTCCCCATATGACATAGACTATAATGAGTTGAGTTTGAGTTTGAGTTTGAAGTTTATTATCCAAACAAAAGTATATCAATATAACAATCAAATGTGAATGGTTAACATTGAAAGGATAAATGGGACCAGAAAATAGCATTTAATGCTAATCGTGTCTGGTACACCTAACACACAAAAGTATCACAGCAATGAATGAGAATGTAATGAATAAATATGAATAACTATGAATAATGATGAACACAAACTGACATGCCAGTTGTAATTTCATTGCATAAATTGAAAACTACTAGAGTGAAATTACGTCATCGCTGCCATTTAGTGTTCAGAAAAGCAAATTACGAATAAATAAATAACTATGGATATTTCCTTTACTTTACACCACATTTTGTTTCTTTCATTGTTCTCATCAGGTCATGTATTTGTTCAGATAGAGGATGAGAAGAAGTCGTACATGAGCATGATCAACAAGATCAAACTACCCCTCAAAGAATGGCTGCACATGGTCTATGTTCAGGATGGCAGAAAGGTATCTTCTTTTTCTTTTTCAATTTGAGTACTGTACAGTACATCCCTCTTTTACAGAGTATTGTCATGCTATACTGGGGTGTGGAGGTGGACCACTACACCGGGGTTTCCCCCTACTCTTATACGAATGGTGCAGTAACATGCAAAGGTAGTGACTCTTCTCTGCAAGAGGCCTCCATTTAACGTCCTATCCGAGGGACGGAGTGTTTCCAACTTAACATAGCCTGCGTCTATGAAACAAGGGGAGGGGCACATTAACACACAATGCAGGCTTCGGTCATCCGTCTGGGTGGGATCCGAACCCAAGATTTTTGGTTTGACAGGCAGACGCTTTACCGACTGAGCCAACTCGCCACCCAATAAAAAACAATTGTCATGTAATCGTTGAAGGCTTCTATTGTGATGATAGATTTGAGCGATGTTTGCAGTACACTGCTTATTTTTTCGACAGGTCTAGTTGGCGCTGAAAAGGGCCCACTCAGGCTCTATCTCGACGTTTCGATAGGTTGTACAATATTGTCTTCAGGATGAGTATGCATGGTTGGATAGGGGAGAGAGGGTGTGAGAGAGAGAGGGTGTGAGAGAGAGAGAGAGAGAGGATCAGAGTGAAAAAGAGAGAGAGAGAGAGAGAGAGAGAGAGAGAGAGAGGAGGGAGAGAAGGAGAGAGAGGGAGAAAAGGAGGAGAGGTTAAGTGAGAGAGACAGAGAGAGAGAGAGAGAATGAGAGGGAGACAGAGAGAGAGAGAGAGAATGAGAGGGAAACAGAAAGAGAGAGAGAAAAGGAGGGGTTTATATGCATTGGTCGGATGGTTCTGATTGTTTGGCTAAGGATGGATCCAGGGAAGTGTTTCACAAAGACTAAGATCAACTTTAAGTTTGACTTACTTATGGCAGGCCATTCATGCCACTGATTGCTCCCACCATTGGTCACTCAATTATGGTCGTTAGATAATATTTTGAACTTCAATAATGAACTATCATAAATCAGTAAATTCTGTAGATTTGTGACCATGATTTGTACGTCCCTTGAGAGATCAATGCCAGTAAATGGTGAGAGCAAACAGTGGCATGAACGACATGCCATACTTAAGTCCATCTTAAAGTTGATCTTAGTCTTTGTGAAGCACTTCCCTGATGGATCGGTACAACCTATCAAAACGCCTAGATAGATTATGTTTGAGTGGGACCTTTTCAGCGCCAACTAACCCTGTCAAAAGGATATGTGGTGCAACCTGAACAATTTGGCTGTCATATTTCGAGTATGAGGGAATTTGAAAAGCAAACTATTTAGGAGACATTTTTACTATGACATTCTTCCAAATGGACATCCAAAGAATGAGAACACTCACAAAGCCCTATCCTTTACCTATCCCTTCCTTGCAGTGGTCGGTCCAGTTCTACACACAGTCCTCGCCCACGTCCACCCATCTCATCGGGAGGAGTGCGTTTGCAAACGACGTCCACTATAACGAGACCGAGGCTTTCTATCACGTTGGCGGCAGCAGTGCAGTCAGGTCGTTCAGCGGGTTCATGCTGGAAGCTAAACTTTGGAGGCGCCAGGCTCTAGACCCTACTAAAGTAAGATACAAGTATAAGTAAATAGAAGCATAGATAGACTGGTAGATAGATATATAGATGGATAAATAAAAACATGATTAAATAGATAGACAAAAAGATGAATAAATATATCTGAATAAACATAATTAATAATTGAATAAACAATACACAAACAAATAAAGAAATTAATGCATTATTAAATAAAGTAAACAAATAATGAAATACATGAAATAAGAAAATAAAAGTAAACAAGTAATAATTCTGAACGTTATTTCAGACTGCATTAAGGTAAATATCAGGGAAGGGGTTGAACAAAACCCTTCCCCTTCTACCCCCCCCCCCCAAAAAAAAAAAAAAAACAAGAGAGAGAGAAAGAGAGAGAGAAAGCTGAGGATACATCAATGCCAACGAGTGATATGATGATGTGAAAAAAAAACTTAAATGTAGAAACCCAGGTATTTGCTATTTGACATCTGATGTACTCAAATTAGATTTGTTTTCTAAATTGCCTACACTTTATTGGGAGAATAAATAGTTGTAGTCCCTTGTAAGCATTTAACATTAGTTGTTGCTAGGTAGGACAAACATTATGGCTTACCCTACTGACTACCGAAATACAATTATTTGTGACAGGTGAATGGAATCATTTGTATCGAGGCATAATAATAATAGCCTAATAGTCCACTCCAAATTTTATTAAACCAAAATGGAAATTCTTTTTGCCCAATTGATCGTGAGCCCGGCTGCCACTGAGCAGCACCAGATCGATGTTGCTCTATCCCTTATTAATGTATGCATTAAACTTGGTTACATTACAAAAAATGGCTTATTGGTAATGTGATATTTCATTCTATAACAGGTACCCATGACTCCCGTTGATAAGCTCAATTATACGACTGGCATCTCAAAGTACTACCGGGAATGTGATCGCCTGCACGTATCCATGGAAATGGTCTTTAACAACTTCAAGCTCAAGCACCAGGACAAGCTCAAGAAGAGTAAGTAGTGATATTATTTCTTCTTCTTCTTCCTCGGTAAATGCTACTTCATACAGCGAAGATTACGCACTGCAGTGTGGTGTGTGCCATGTCCAAAATTTAAATGGGAAGTCCACCCCAATATTAAGTTGGTTTTACTAGAAACAGAAAAATGAGAGGATTATGTCGGTGACATTTTGAGCAAAATCTGATTAGAAATGAGAGAGTAATGAATTTTTTGAGGTGCAATCAATCAAACACAAATTGCCAACTCTGTGATGTATGTTGCAAGCTCCTCTCCCTTTGCCTTATACAAAAAAACTTCAAACAATTATATTTTCCCTTCAGAAATTTGTTGATCGTACATTCACCCTGAATATTGTTATTGCAAATATGTTTTTATGGAACAAGTCTATTCCTTCATCAATATCCAAGAAAATTAATTTTTACAAAATTTTCTGTACAGAATTTGATAGTGGTGGTCATTTTACCTGACAGGTAAGAAAGCAATAGATGCTTGTTAGTAAGCGACCAGAGAAGAGCTCGCAAGATATGTCACAGTGTTGCCAATTTGTGCTTCACTGATGACAAACTTCCCCACCTGAAGAGGTAGTGGAAATATTAAAATTGTTATTAATTGTATTTCTTCATATCAAAGTGTCTCTAATAATTTCTTTCAACATTCAGTGACTTGTCCGAGCATTCATCCATTCCTTGCCAACAACCTTGCTGCTGAAGAGCCACCACACTTACAACCTTCCTGCAATTCATGGCAGCAACCTGCACCCAAGAGACAACTCAAACTGTGGAGGTTGCTGAAACAAAGTGCTGCCGTCAACAACAGCTACGCTGCAACACACGAGTGGATTGGGCACCAACTATATCAGCATGTTCTAGAAAGGCTGGTAGGTAGACTATTCCTGGCATTCAGAAAACGGGGCGTCGTGGCGTGGGCCTGTAATCCAGCTAACAATGGAAGTTACAAACTGATTTAGCCAAGGACGCAGGTTCGAAACTAGTGCTGTAGCCGAACCGCCGAACCGAACGGAAGTTCGCCGAACATGGCACTTCCGAACCAAACCGAACCGAACCGAATGCAAAGGCCTGGTTCGGATGTTCGGCAGAAAAATATAAAAGTTTTTGCCAGCTAATAAACTTGTAATTTTGTACCTAATTTTCATGTCATGATTGCTCATTTTATATTTACTCTTTTCCCATTTTCCGCCTTTGTGATTTATACCTATCAAGTGGTGCATGGGCGCGACTTCACTGGCGCCATTTAAATCCCAAATCCTGACCACGCTACGTCGCAAGCCATAAACAAGAATACATGTGCGTAATCAAAATATGTTCAGCTCGAACCCATTCAACAAAAAATTAATATTTTAATTGTAACAATATCGGACAAATTTTACGATATAAATAATGAAATAAATATATATTATAGTATGGTATTTATTTATTAAGAAAAACTACGGATTTTATATTTTTCCTATTAAAAATAAAAACTTATAAAAAACAGTTATTGACGAGCCTAAATTTCTATTCAAGATGGCAGCTTTCATGACTCTAACATTAGACAACAACCATCTCGGAAAATCTTTAACAAATATCATTTATTGACAAATTGAAAACATGATTCTTTTAAAATTGAAAATAAAACATGATTCAAGACGGAAATACGAATGTAAGTAGTATTTTTCTTTACAAATAATTACGTTTAGAGCAGTTTTTAATGTGAAATTCGAACTGGTCGGACGCAGTGTGCAGAGGTACTCCGTGCTGGTCGGGCCCGGCAGGCCGGCCGGCCCGCCCAGTGCCGACCGCCGTGGCTATAATGCTGCTTGCTATTATATTATCGAACCCCAAACCGAAGCAAGTTCGGGTGAAAAATTGTCGAACTCTGCCGAACCGAACCGAACACGAACATAGCGTCTGACTTACAGCACTATTCGAAACTGAGTCACCTCTTTTGGACGGTAAAGTTAAAGGTCGGTCCCCAGACGTAAATAATCATATCTGATTGATACACGTTTATAAAAACCCAATTACACACACAGACATGTTCTTATATCGCAGGGTTTCTGAGGTTATGGGATAATATGTTCTTCTTTAAAGTCATGGAAAGCCATCCTTAAGGCAATTGATCCTGGGTGTTGGCTGTGTGTGGCTATGGCAGCCTTCCAGTTTGAACTGACAATGGGCATGGTATTAGTGCACCGCTTGGATGACGGAACCTGTACCAAAATGGGACTTTTCTGGTCATGGAAAAGGGCTAAATTGGTCATGGAAAGTCATGGAATTTGGTTCTCGTACATCTATGTACATATTTTTCTAAAGATGTGGTAGTATACAAATATTGACTGCTCATGAGGATGATGGTGGGAACTATCACTCCCAAGGTGGTGTTCACACCGGCCCTTCTATCATCCCCGAGGCGAAGCCGAGGGGGTGATAGAAGGGCCGCCGTGTGAACACCACCGAGGGAGTGGTAGTTCCCACCATCATCCGATTACAGAGCAGTCCATATTTGTTTTATATACCTCATCCTTTTTATTGATTCATGATTAGTTCTAGCTGTAGGTCTAGATCTAGCTCTAAAAAACAGGAAACGAGATCAAGAGGAATTCACTCACCAGAATAAGCAAAATCCAACATCAAGTCAAAATTAAAGGCAAGAGTATTGAATTCCAACGCGCTGCGCGTAACCGTGCGCGCGATTGCGGTAGCCTAGCAACTCAAAAAATTGGTGTGCGCAACTAAGTCGCGGGAGGGGTTAGGGGTCCTATCCCGGGGTTTGATAGTAGCTATCAAACCCTCTGACGTAATAATACTTGATAGATCGAAATGCTCTTTGACATGTGATATAGTTTTGACCAATCAGTGAATGGCAATCTATGTATGAGGTATATAAAAAAAAATTAGTTATCTGCTTCTAAATATTTTGGAATTGAGAGAACAGTTCAAAATAAATGAATAATTCTGTGAGAGTAGGAATAGCTCAAATATATATATTTTGTTTGCTCAGATCAGGAAGGAACTTAAGAGGTTGAGTTCTGGGAAAAGGTGAAAAATAATTTGTGAAAGTTATCATTGTATTATGCAAGTGTGGAAGAACATGAGTATTCGCTGACAAGCATTGCTCTTTGAATGTCTCAATATTCTAATCATGGCATGTAACATTAATAAAATTGGGACGAATTTTCATGCCACATGTGTACAGTGCTTGTATCTTTACCAAGACTGGGCCAAATTTCTTATCATTTTGATGATTCCAGAACCTTGCAGTACACACCAATACTTATATGCTAGATGATCAACCTTTTCTGATCGATTCCACATCGTTTCTTTCACAATGCAATTGCATGATCAGAACTCAACTTGATCTTTAACTTGTATTAATAACGAATTCATTTTTCCTCTTTAAAACCAGCATACTAAAGGCCTTGGAGGTATGCAAGCAAATATACCATGGCTTAGACAAGCTAGTTGCTATGGTAACATGGATGCTGCAGGTTTCCTAGCAACAGTATACAACGCAGGACTGGGAGTACAGACCAATGAGTCTATGGTAAGACCTGGGACCCCTTTCACAAAGCCTTATATCAATGACAAATGACCAAAATCAGTGACAAATCTGCTGACCACCAATCAGAAGCAAGGATTTCAGTAGCTTATAGCAAAACCTTTCAATTGTCACTGATGACAAGTTTGTGAAAGCCCCCCCCCCCCCTGGATCATCCAAAATATTAGCTCTATGTATAACGTGTAGTGACTGGAACCATACAGGGTAGCCCAAAAATGCAATAGCTGAGATCTATCATCTCGATGACATAATTGGCAAATTGTCTGATTTTTTTTTTATTGGGTAGATAATTATTTCCTGAGTAAAATCTACAAATAGGGTTATTTTTGTGAGGCAGTGTCATTCTAAAATTGGCTACTTTTGCAACTGTAGTCATGCTTGAAGCAGGAAGAAATCAATATTGAAAATTCTTTGATATGAAATTCACTGATTGAAGTTTTTTTTTTTTCAATAAAGGGAAAACTGCCAACCATGTATTGTGATGTAGGGCTTAATATCAATTTCCATGTAAATGGATTATTCTAAGAATATTGTAAACAACAAAGGATCCTGCTACATCTCTTAAAAGAGAATTTTTTTAAATAATTGTTTTTAAACTTGGAAGGATCATTTACTCTCCAGGTCGGATTACCTGTTAGCTGTAGAGTCGTGTGCTATAGAATATGTGCTATATGCTCTATATTCAGTCTATCTTTTTGCTGATCCACATAAACAATATTCTCTTCATACATTACCACAGGCTTTAATCTACTGGCTGGCAGCAGCGCAAGGTGGTAGTCGTCTAGCAATGATAGCCCTAGCTAACAAACATCACCAAGGTGTCGATGAAGTCCCTGTCGACATGGACTATGCATTCAGTAAGGAAGTATTCTGTATTTCAAAGTCCATTCTTATTTTTCATGGTGTACATCTAAAGCACTGTGGTTCAAACTTCGTAATGTCCCTACCTAATCCGTAATTTGCCATTCATAAAGAGATAAAGCTATGCTAGGTGATGAATTTGAATTTCCCCTCTTTAATGCAGTACATGTAAGTATTTAATTCAATTTTGTTGGTTTTATTATAAAAAATAGAACATAGCAAAAGTCTTGAGACTTAAATTGTCATTTTTACAGTAAAATACAAGAAAACGTGAACTAAGGTTACAAATTGTACGTTTACATGTAGTACTTCAGTATCAACTAAAAAGGAGAATGTGACTTCATGCATAAAAAAAAACAATGTTATACAGTAATTATTATATAGAATTCTATCGGATAGATTTTTACAAGAATCATCCTTTCTTTCTATTCCTCTTTTCAGATTATTATTACCAGATTGCACTGGAAACAGTTTTGGACAGAACCAAGCATACAGAAAGTGATGTAAGTGTAGAAAGTTACACTGTGTTTCTCTGCTTGAACAGTGGAACCTATAAGTAAAGACCGCTGTAGGGAAACATGAAAAGTGGTCTTTATATGCAGGTGGTCTTTTTGTACATGTACAGGTTCCTTCAGTACAGGTTTCAATGAAAAACCATATTCAAGGGAAACAAAAATTGTGGTCTTTATAGACATGACGTCGCTAAAGCAGGTTTGACTGTATGTGAGAATCATATAAGTGGTTATAGAGACATGCAAAAGTTTCTAGTTGTTGTGCAATGTCTTTTCATTTCAAAGGTTCCATTGATATATTTGTGTTGATTGAAAACTCGCTTCATGAGGTGATGGAAAGAAAAATAGTATGTGGGATGTGACAATGGCATGGAAACGGCATGGAAATCGTCTGAGTTTTTTTCCTGAATATTTGACTCCAGGTGCAATATTTCACTGTTTAATGGACATTCATTTTCATGTTCCGATTGCTCAAACTTGAGGTTTTATTGTCTTTTGAAGAAGAAAAAAAGCACTAACCCTGTAAATATATATATATATATGTATGTCATTTCTCTGTTGTGGCTTTTATTGATAGATTTTTTGGTTTGAATTATATTATTCAGTACAATGCATTTGACCTCTTTTTCAAACATTATTTAATTCCACTTCATATTTTACCCTTTATTTTCATCCAGACTTTCTTTGAAGCGATAAGGCTGACCGATGAACAGCAGCTCCAAACCCAGACCGGTGAGACGGGAGACTACTTTAAATGGCTTAAATACCAAGCCAAACAAGGCGTTGCAGATGCACAGGTAGGATCATAAGTCTACTTACAATGCAAGGGGCAGATCAAAGATTCTGTTTAAAGGTGCAGGGAGGGGGGGGGGGGGGGGGGTGGGCGCAAAATTGCCACCCAAAAATTTGTCTTAAAGCAAAATGCAAAATTAAGATTAACATTACACACTACAGTGTGAGTCAAAAAAAAGTTTACTCCTAGAAAATTGCTAATTATTTAAAAAATGATCGATGAACATTAAACTGTTATATGTCTTATGAAAGAGTGTTTTATCCCAAATCATTTGGTACCATTTTTGTGGGGTATGTGTTCACGCTTGGATGAACAGGAGACATTGTTTGCGAGAGTGCAAAAATCGAATTCCGCCAAAGTTGCCTATGTGATCTTTGAATAAAACAATTGGGATTTGGGTATTAATTCGGTCATTGCAGATCCAAATAACACCCCTAACAAAATTAATCATGCCACACATATCAAATATCGAATATCAAATATCAACGAACATTTTTGAGCGTGTGTGTGGGTGTGTGTGTGACTTTGCCCTTTGCAAAAATATATGCAATGCAATTCATTTGATACATTGAATCCATTCTCTCACTTCGCTCATCCCAACATAATACATACTGAAAGCATCACTTTGGCACAAGTCGATTTTTACACTCTCGCAAACAATGCCTCTTGTTCATCCAAGCGTGAACACATATCACACAAAAATGGTACCAAATGATTTGGGATAAAACACTCTTTTATAAGATGTATAATAATTTACTGTTCATAGATGATTTTAAAAATTATTTGACTCACACGGTATATGCAAGGCGCCTTTTCTTTTTGGTCTATTATATGGGGGGGCACATTTTATGTGTTTAGTTATTCAAGCTTAATTAGGTTTTAAATAGGGGGCATGGGCCAGTAGTACCCCCCCCCCCTCTTAACACTGTATCTGTTCCAAATGGTGTGCATTTGCATCCCTACTAGATTTGAGACATTCAAGGATACTTTTCTTGTCAAACAAAACATAAATTCACATCTTGTTTGAATACTCCAGCAAAATATCTTTGGTTGATTGGCTGTAACCTTCTTTGACAATCTTATAGGGGAAAAATTCAAAAATGGTTGGGAGAATTTACAGTTAGAGGGCGTCACACAGTGACGCATTCAAAGAAAACCATAAATATCTTTGTGGTTTGAGAATTTTTTCAGGATTTGTTTGCATGTTAGAGGGTTAGTACGGTAGAAGGAATATAATAAGTAACATTTCATACACAATTACACAGTTTTTTCATCAACCTTCAACAATGTTACCGAGTCACTTTGATTTCTGGTAAAGATGGAAATTAATTTGAGAGCATTCTCATTCATATCGTGACGGTTAGAAAGAATAGATACAACTGATCTTCAGAGATGCTCATATTTAAAATGTGACAAGATATAGCTGGGAAGTTTGATAAATAATATCATTTTGTGTCATAGACAGGGGGATTTGTATTACCAAATCCAAAATTTCTTAAAAGAGCAGCATTATTGGTAGTTATGATTAAAATATTATATGCAATGAGTCTTTAGTTTGTTCTGTGCATGAAATGTTTTTTGTTACCTACCTTTTGATTTGTTTTGTGTTAAAAAATGTAGATTGATTATTTTCTTTTCTGTTACAGTCTGTATCTTTTGCTAGCTTGTACTCTTACATGTATACATAAATGCATGCCAAAATGAATTGTTACTACAGTATTTGCATTTTCTTGCTACTCACTTTCATACACATAATTTGCCACTGTTATAGTTTTTTTTCTTCATCAAATGAATTTCATGTCATTATAATGGAGAAGACTTTGTAGATTGCTTGTATATGTAGTTGCATGGTATACAGGAAACAATCATGGCTAGTAAAAGTGTTTAAATGTTTTTTGCATGTACAATGTAAAGCCTGGCGCACACTCCATGATTCTTCTGCAATCCTATTTTGTAGAATTTGCGGTTACATTAGATATGGAATTCTAAACAACCAATTTCCTCCTGATAATGCTTCTAAATAATGATAAGAATCTGAACAACAGCAATTTTAGAGCATTTAATTCTTCTAGTCAGAATAAAAATCTGTAGACCAGCAAACTACTGGCCTGATGTCACTACGTTTCTGAGCCGATTTAGCTTTTTCCCTTCTAAGGGAGCAAGAAATTCATTGAAAGTTATATTTTTTTTAATCATATGATTATTCAGATCCTCAGTCATTAAGATTTTACATGTCTAAATCTTTGTATCAAATGCTATCAAAACTAGTCAAATCGTGTAGTGTGCGCCTGTCTCAGATAAACAAATATTAAGCTGATTGGACTGCTCTGTGCATGCTTTATTTCCAAACAATTTAAGGATAGGAGTTTAGGACTCATAGCAATAGTATAGTACTTGATGTACATATACACGTACTCATGTATAATCATTGTTATTTGGATCTTTTTACAAATCAATTAATGAACCAACAATGTGGAATGCTGATTGTGAAAAGAAATAGTAGCCTTATAATGTATCATTCCAAAGACAAAAAGTGTCTGGAACCCATCAAAAATAGCCTTTCTCATTTTTAGTGCATGTAATTCATCCATGTCTTTTCTTTCTTCTGTTTTCTCTATCTATCCAATTTCCTCCGCCATTCCATTTTCCTTGAATGTTTCTATCCATTGACTTCTCTTCTTTATGCATCTCTCTCTCTCTTCTTTTCACTCTTTTTTTTCTCACCCTCATGTTTTTCCCTTCCTCCCTCCCCCTCTCTCTCTTCTCTCACCCTCATGTTTCTCCCTCCCTCCCTCCCTCCCCCTCTCTCTCTCTCTCCTCTCTTTCTCTTTCTCTCTTTTGGTTTTCTCTCTCTCTCTCTCTCTCTCCCTCTCTTTCTTCTTTTCACTCTTTTCTCTCACCCTCATGTTTCTCCCTCCCTCTCTCTCACACACGCACATACATTCTCCCTCCCTCTCTCCCTCTCTCCTTCCCCTTCTCTCTCTCTCTCTCTCCCCCTCTCTCCTCTCTTTGTACTATATTTCTATGCTGTATCCTTCCTCCATCTCCCTCTCCTCTTGACCCCGTCACCATAGATCAATCTAGCTCGCATGTATTACCATGGTACCGCTGGGGTTCAGAGAGACATGGCAGCCGCAGCCCAGCTCTATCGCCTCAATGCTGAACAAAACCCCGCCGATCCCATTGCCCAGTATGACTATGCTGTACTTCATCTCAGGGTGGGTATTCCACGGTGAAGGTCAGAGGTCAAAGTTCATGCACAGTTTTGGGTCAGATTTATGGTAATAAGCCTCCAGCTCATCTGTAAAATAGATGTCAGTAGCTGTTATTAAATTCTCTAAAGATGAGTCATTATAAAAACAAAAACAAAATATATATACCGGGTATATAAAAATGCAAATATAAGTATTTGTCCTCATACTGTTTTTTCAAGGTTAGACACGCTTAATTTTTATGAAGCTTCAACATGATTATGAGATTATTGATGATAAATTTAAGAAAACCCAGCCATAATGCTTTGGAAGAGAGCAGGATATGCATCATGTAACCACCCTTCCATACCACAACAGAAAATAAAATTCCATGTTTGAACCTGACCCATATTGTCCTACATAGCTTGAGTATCTATTGTACTATATTGATTTTTAAAAGACGTCCATTTTGCTTGGGAAATCTAAGGTTACTGTTAAGTTTTGAAAGACTTGTAGACTGAAAAGGGAAGGCTAAAAACCTCAGAACACCCAAAACTGTGCGATACCTTTGCCTCTCTCTATCAATACATTATATCATTGCTTTAAAGTAGAATTATGGAATCTACTTTGTACTTGCCGACTCATATGGGACTTTTCTATTTCCTGGGCCCCGTCTTGTAAAGAGTTGCGATGATCCAAGTCCTCCAATTAATCGCAAGTTTGCTGTCTTTTATCTCTTGTGTACATAGTTGTGATTGATATCAATCTTATAAAATAAGTTGCGATTAATCAGCTCTTTATAAGCCGGGGACATGGTTATAAGATGGTTATAAGATGAACCATATTTAGGTATGTATACTCAGCATGCATGCAAACACATGTAGTAGTCTGGTGAAAGACATGTAGAGCATGCACTGATGCCATGCTGAAAAAGGTACTACGTACACACGTACACACACCGTCATTTCATATTGGGCTTTCATCATCTGTAGCAGAGATGTTGATAGCCAGAATAAATGCTCTGTAGCTGAGGCATTACAGGATGTAGTTTGTCACATTTCACAAAACTTGTCATCAGTGACAAATGACAGATTTTGTTATAAGCTACTGAAATCCTTGCTTCTGATTGGTTATCAGCAGATTTGTCACTGATTTTTGTCATTTGTCATTGTAAAAAGGCTTTGTGAAACTGGTCCCTGATTGGTACTGGGATATTACATGTACATCGTGGGTCCAGGGTTACATCATTTTATTCCAAACTTGCATGCTTCAATTTCTATTTCAAAATCGCTGTAGTACTCTGCATGAGAAAATAATATTCTCTTCTTTCTAAACGAAAATATTTATTTTAGCTTTGAATAAATTTCAATAGATTTGAATAGTTTGAGCAAATTTTATTATATTTGAATAAATTTGGATATAATCATCATCCCGGGCTCCTGCAGTCCAACATTGCCCAGCATCTATTCTGGGGCACGCATGGAGTCAAGAGAAACGTGGAACATGCGGTGTCCTATTACGCCGAGACGGCGCAGACGCATCCCATGAATAAGATCGCCCTCTACGACTACGGTATTGTGTTGCTCAGGGTGAGACGAAACAATCAATAAAGTTCTCCGTAGGAATATTTTTGTTTGCCCCCATCAATGACACTGATAATGATTACTATAGCTATGTACATGTATTTGGTCCATGTATACAGGGTATTGGATCTGAGAAAATGAGTGCTCGAATTGGCGATCAACCCGATATCAAGTTGGTTTTTAATAGAAGAAGTGGGAATTTGGACAGATCAGTTACGGTTTGAGGGAACTTTGATAAGAAATGAGAAAATAGTTGAGTAATAGTGATCTCCAATAGACATCAGCTGGATTATCTGCAGAAGAATGAAAGACAAAGAATTATTGTGTCATTGCAGTATACATGTACATGTTAGTAGTGTATCATGTGTTGGATATATAGTTCTGTGTCCGATTTTGCTTAAATTCGGCCTAAAATTGGCCTAACTTGGCCTTAACTTGGCCTTGACTTGGACTAGACTTGGTTTTTATTTTGCCTTAATTTTGCCTCCGCTTGGCTTTAACACGCCCAGTAACATAAACTGATAAAAGACCGCATCAATCCACCCTTGACATTAATCAAGACAGTGCTTTGAAAGACTTGAGCATTGTTCCATTTTGAAAGCATCTCTTGAAATATTCCTTGTCCTTTGATACAAATAAACCATGGTGTACACATATTTCTGTTTCTGATATGACCTACATGTATATTTGACTTAACCAATTGCATTTTCAGGAACCAGATGGCACCTGTATCAAAAGCTGTGAAATAAAATTATATTATAGTTGTCATATACAGTTAACAACTAAATTTGTAATATCCCTACCAAGCTTTGTATTTTTTTTTTAGTATCTGAAAAATTGATTTGTCCCAAAATATGTTTCTTTAGAATGTGATATGTCACACCTTACATCTAAAAATATTCAACTGAAACCTTAAATGAACCAGTTCATCTCTCATTCTTGAGTTATAAAAAACATAACATCAAATTTACAAGAGGTATGAATAATTTAGTTGTTAATTCTATTTCAGAGGAGACCATTATTTTTCTCTTTTTTCACCCGAATTAACGGGATAACCTATGTGTACCATCAGAAAATGAATGAAAAGTGGCACAAAGAATCTGTGGGAAATCCTAACAGATTGTATAGCAACACAAACCAACAATATGAACTTGTTTCTAAAGCCCTATAAGTACAGTGTAGATGCTGGAATATTACATTATCTTCAAGTGTAATGTACTTGCAAGATCTCCGGTCATCAAGAAATCGTTGTGAACTAAATGATCTAACTTTGTGCGTCTTATTTTTTGTCTCGCAGGGTCAAGGAGTGGAGAAGGACGAGGAGAAAGGGATGGACTACCTCAACAAATCAGCTGCGTTGGTGAGTCCAAGGAGAAATGAAATACAGTGAAACCTGTATACAAAGACCACTCAAGGGAAACATGAAAAGTAGTCTTTATAGGCAGGGGGTCTTTATGTACAGGTATTAATGATAAACCATATTAAAGGGAAACAAAAAATGGGGTATTTATAGACAGGTGGGCGCTAAGGTAGGTTGACTTAACATGTCATCTATTTCTGGTGTTTTAATTTCTATTTCTATTGATATGTTTGACCCTAAAAAATGAAATTGCCCTCATTTTCCAGTGTTACTTGTTTCCATGACAATTCTTTTATTAACCTTTAACCCTCAAGGTCACAGTACAGCATATACTGCCCTCGTCTGAACAGATTGAATATTGTACATGGTATTGTTCGATGAATGATTTGTCTTGATAAGCTTTCCTAACTCCTCAACAGATGATATCTAACTGTCTTCATGTCAACTAATTATTTGACCTTTAACCCTCAAGGTCACAGTACAGCATGTACTTCCCTCGTCTGGTACAAGTTGAATATTGTACATGGTATTGTGTGATGAATGATTTGTCTTGGATCTGCTTTTTGTACTCTCAACAGACGACGTAAAACAAACTGTTTTCATGTCAACTCATTATTTGACCTTTAACCCTCAAGGTCACAGTACAGCATGTACTGCCCTTGTCTGAAACGGGTTGAATATTGAACATTGTCCACTGAATGAGTTGTCTTGATAATCTTTTCTTACTTCTCAACAGTCGATATCTAACTGTTCTCATGTCAACTCATTATTTGACCTTTGACACCTAGGGTCATGCTCCAGCATACACCGCCCTCGGCTGGTACAAGTTGAACTTTGACCAAGACGATACGGCGGCTGCGTACTACTTTGAGAAGGGCGATGCATTGGGGCACAGGGATGCCGCTCATAACCTGGGCTTCATGTATCTGTTTGGAAGATACCCTGGACAGCCAGTAGACAGGGTGAGTGCGAAATGTGTACAGTCAAACCTGTCTATAGCGACCACCCAAGGGATACACAAAAAATGGTCTTTGTAGACAGGTTCGTTTAGCACATGTTTCAGTAGGAAACCATTTTCAAGGGAAACCAAACATGTGGTCTTTGTAGACAGGCGGTCACTAAAGCAGGTTTGACTGTACCCATGAAATGATGTGAATAGGGAATGAAATTGGAAAAGTATGTTTGCATTTCAACCATCATCGTCATCATCAAGACTACAAATGCCACCATTATTCTCGTGATCATGATTGTCTTTGTCATCAATACTACTGTTGTCACTACCACCATCATCATCATCATCATCATTATCATCACCACTACCATCACCATCATCATCATCATTAACATCAGCAAACATTGCAGACCCTTTTTTTACTTCTCATTCATTTTTTAGTGGAATATATATATTCCACTTGCACTACACAATCCTAAACATGCCAAAATCATACTCTCTGTTCAATACTACAAATATGAACAAACAAATAATATTTGCTGAGTTATGCTGCTACTGATGATGATGATGAGGATGATGATGGTAGTGATAATTGTGATAGTAGTGAAGATGATGTTGATAATAATAGTTACGATGATGATGACGAGGATGATGTTGTTGCTGATGATGGTGGTAGTATTGGTGATGATGATAAAGGGGCTGATGATAATGATTGGAACTGTCATGGTGATGTTTTACAGCTTGTTAGTCTTTTTGTCTCATTTTATATATTACCCGACTCTTTCAGATGAAAGCATTTGAGTACTACTTGAAGGCAGCAAAGGCCGACCATTGGGATTCAGGTGTGAAGGTCGCTGAACTCTACAACCAAGGCAACGAACAGATGGCGAGAGATACTTTCATGGCTGCTGCGTAAGTCTCGTAATGTCTCTTTATTTCATTAATCTGATACAGTCAAACCTGTCTACAGCGACCGCTCAAGAGAAACACAAAAAGTGGTCTTTGTAGACAGGTTCCTTTAGTACATGTTTCAATGAGAAACCATTTTCGAGGGAAACACAAAAAGTGCTTGTTGTAGACAGGTGGTCACTAAAGCAGGTTTGACTGTATTAATAAATGAACTACAATACTTAATTGGAATCTAGTCTGCATACATTACTTTTTGCTACATCGGGCAAACCTCAAACAACCTTTTAGGTTGTCAAGAACAACCTTTGTTTAAAAAGTATGCATAAAATTTGAATATGTTTAGTAAACCGGTCTATGGATTCTGATACTGGGATTTGGGAAACATTTGTTTGTTGATGGCTCGGTACATGTATGTGACTGAGAAGAACAGAGATGTGGCCTGGGTCCACACTAGGTTAAACAAACCAGTCTATGGATTCTGATACTGGGATTTTGGAAACATTTTTTTTGTAGATGGGCTCGGTATGTGGCGGAGAAGAACCGAGATGTAGCCTGGGTCCTGCGCTGGGGTCTAGATGCCTACCTAAAGGGTTCCTGGTCCGAGAGCCTGGTCTACTATGCCATGGCGGCTGAGGCTGGTCTAGAAGTGGGCCAGTTCAATCTAGCCTACCTGTGTGAAGAGAATTATGTAAGTACAGATTTTGATCCTTTTTTTTGGTTGTTTGATAGATTTGATTGATTATTTCATTCATTAGTTGATCGGCTGAATGATTGATTGACTGACTGAGTCAGTGGGCGAGTAAGTGAGGGGGTAATTCATCTTTTTATTTTTTAAAAAATTCATTCTTTCATAGTAGAGGTGTCGTGGATGAGTGGATATGTCACCGGACTGTGGATCACAAGGTTCGCGGTTCAAGTCCCACCGAGGCGCTAATGTCCTTTGGCAAGACATTGATCTACATTTGCCACTCTCCACCCAGGTGTTAAATGGGTACCCGGTAGGATGCGAAAGCTAATGTGGTTAGATTAGCAAGTGTGCGCTTGTAAAAAAAGACGCCTGGCTGGAATGCTCCCCAGGGAGTGGAGAATGTGCATACATTGTGTGCGGGTAAGCCTGAATCCTATGACCGGGGTAATAATATATATATCTGTAAAGCACTTTGAGAGGGCCTTAGGTCCTGATAAGCGCTATATAAGAACTAGCTATTATTATTATTATTATTATTATTCATTCATCCATCTATCAATTAATTTATCTATGTATTTATTTATTCATTCCATTCATTCTTTCACTCATTTATTTTCATTCAATATACATTATAAATGTTGAGTCCCGCCGCCGCACTAATGTCCTTTGGCAAGTCATTGATCTACATCTGCCACACTCCACCCAGGTGAAGTAAATGGGTACCTGGTAGGAATTTATTCCTTGAAATGCTACAGCGCTGTATGGCAGCCATGCTTAAGCCAGGGTAATAATCGGGAGCGCCAGGAGGGTCAAATCTGACTGACATGAGCGCTATACAAGAACCCACTATTATTATTATTATTATTATTCCTCATTTATTGATTTATATAGTTATCAACACCAAGATCATTTTTGATATTCATTTGCATTTTTTCTCTCTTTTGGTTTCATTCAGGATGGTATTGCTGAGAGATATGTAGACAAAGACTGTGCTTGGAAATACTGGAAACTAGCTGCTGGTTCAACTCGTCCCCATCTTACATGTAAGATTCTCTTCCCTTTTTTACCTCTTTTAATGTGTGTAGGTAGATGTATTGTTTCATATCATAAACCAGTGCCCCGTTTTACAAAACTTTTCATCAGTGACAAATGACAATAATTAATAAGGAATGTGATTTGCTGAGTCTCAATACATTGCCCCATTTCAAAAAATTCTCATTAGTGACAAATGACAGATTTTCTTATAAGCTAGTGAAATCCTTGCTTCTGATTGGTTATATGCAGATTTGTCACTAATTTTTGCCATTTTTCATTGAAAAAAGGTTTTGTGAAACAGGTCCTTGGCAGATGTTGGTATTTTTCATCCTTGGAAATGTTCTTGAGCTTTGGCACAGGCCCACTTTTCATCTTACCCATTTGTCCACCTGGGCCCTGTTTCATAAAACATGTCATCACTAACAAATGCTAAACATATATGACAAATGTGCTGTCAGCCAATCAAATGCAACGATTTCAGTAGCTTTTAACAGTTATTTCTAACTAGTTATTGATATCAAGTATTATGAAACAGGGGCCCGGTCTATACAATCTATTTTTTACTCAAGACAAAACAAAAAGTTGCTGATTACTATTTTTAAAAAGTCAGAAAATGCTTGATTGAATGATGCTAAGCCTTGTTTTATTTTATATCATCTCATTTCATTTCATTTCATTTCAAGCAACATAAAGGAGTATATCAATGACAAAGAATACAACAACAAAAAAGTGCAATAACAATTGCACTAACAATAGAAAAGAAACTATCAACTCAGTTCATTTCAGTTTTTATTTTTCACTCTCAATAAAAACAACATACCAGTACTGTACATAAAATATAATGAGCGTCATCAATAGAAAACAATACAGAGCAATTAGGCATTGTTTGGTATATAGAAGGCACAAGTATCTATTAGTGCAGTGGGGCTTTAAGTTTGTATTCAAAATGTGAAATGTTATATATTGCATGTTTGTTTCCTTATTTATTTGTTTGTCTGTTTGTTGTAATAATCTATATACCAAACAATGCCTAAGCGATAACCAATGGTCCCCTTTTTTTAGTGTAAATTGAGAGCTGATTTGATGAGATAACCACCTGTCAGTGACCGTGCAGAGAGGTCTAATCCCTCCTGGCCAAACTAGTGCAGACAGGCTTTAAAAGATGAGGTTTATAACAGCATTTAAAGCCCCTCTGTACTAGTTTGGCCAGGAGGGATTAGAGGGACCGAGATGCACCGCTTAGGCATTGTTTATATATAGAGGGAGCAAGTAGCTACAAGTAGTACAGTGGGGCTTAAAAGAATAAAGTGATGTGGATTACCTAAAGGAATTCATTTATTTTCAATCCCTTGTTCAGCGATCCTAAGAGTTGCTGACTACCACTGGTATGGCTACAACAATGTGTCTGATCAAGAGAAAGCAGTCCAGTATTACATCCAAGCTGCACAAACAAAGCAACCTCATGTAAGTTTATCAAAAACACCCCTTTTACATACAGATGGAATATGCCAATGTGATGTATTAGTATAGGTTGGAGTAACCCTTTTTTCGCTGAAAAGGGTTGAGTAGCTATTTAGGTTTGTGCTAACTCAAACGTTATTTATAGATTATGCAGTACAGTGTTATACCCGAACTGCAGAAGCAAAGCAACCTCATGTAAGTAGGTAACATAAACTAATTTGAATATAAACTGAAATGATATTTGACTTAAGCCGTCCACACCATCATTGGGATGTATGATGGCTTCTGTTTCACAATGGCTTGCCACGCCTTCCTATCTTCTGTCAGCCTAGTGGCTTTAGTCAGGGAGTCAAGTTGTCTGTTGTTGCAGTCCGCCTTGATACAATCTGTCCATCTCTTACTGAAATGATAATAATAATGAAAATAGCATTCTATAGATTCGGGGCATGATGATTTATTACTCTCATAGTATTCTCTGTACATTCAGGCTATGTTCAATTTAGCTAATATACTTGAAAACGGTGCCAAAGTGAAGAACGAAGTTTTGGAGCGGCTCGGCGTATCATCCCACGTCTTCAAGAGCAAGAATAACTTGGCAAAGGTCCTGGAGCTGTATCGCATGTGAGTATATTTTGGTAGCCATTTTATACAGTACAATAATACAATACTAGATACTTGTTAAAACTTTAAAGTCTTTGTAAACCACACTTCCTCTATACATCTCCTCACTTTTTTAGCAGCAGGGAACATCATATTCATTTTGATCTACATTAGCTCCTTCCTTTTTCATTCCCGAATCCCCCAAACAGACTGGCTTCAAATTCTTTCAATCCGTTAGGGAACTCAGCAACTTTGTAATTGATTGGAAGACTTGCTATTAATTCACATCAATTTCAAGTCTTTATATAAGGCAGGGCCAGACAAAAGTTACCAATTAAGCAATAAGCTTTTGAGTTGTCAGGACTTTGGTAAACAAAGTACGAGTTGAATTTGAATAAATTTGTAAACTGGTCTATTCTTTCAAGAAGGTTTATCAATATTTAGACTAGATTACAATATTTACATGCAAATCTGCCTCATATTACTCTCATCACCTGCTTTGATATTTGAAATACATATACCATAGATGACATGATTTGAATATTCTAGATATTTAATACTATTGAGAATGACAGGCAGGGAGTTCCACAAGGAAGCATCTTGGCACCTGGTGTTATTTTTATTTATTCATTTTTGTGCACGCTTCTGCAGGTGTCGAGATAGCTCAGAGGATGGTTATTTTCCATGTGGATTAGCCCTCCTCAACCTACAGCTCAGACAGGCGTGGAAGGAGCACAACTTCTCTATACAGGTAAATAGGAGTGTCAGGGTGGTGATGTTGTCATAGTGATAGTCGATGCTGCTGATGATGGGGGTGATCCTGGTCATGGTGGCGGTGATGGAAGTGATGGTATTTATAATGGTGATGGTTATGATGATGGTGGTGGTGGTGGTGGTGAATGGTGATATTGGTGATGGTAGTTATGATGATGGTGGTGGTATTTATTATGGTGGTGGTTATGATGATGAGGATGACGATGATGTTGTTGGTAGTGGTGGTGGTGGTGGTGATATTGGTGGTGGTGGTTATGATGATGAAGGTGGTGGTTATGATGATGGTGGTGGTGGTGGTATTGGTAGTGATGGTGGTGTTTATGATGGTGGTGGTGGTGGTGATGAAGGTGGTGGTTATGATGGTGGTGATGGTGGTGGAGGTGGTTATGATGATGATGGTGGTGGTGATGATATTGGTGGTGGTGGTGATATTGGTGGTTATGATGGTGATGATGGTGATCATCATGATGATGGTGGAGGTGGTTATGATGATGAAGGTGGTGGTTATGATGGTGGTGGACGTGGTGGTGGTGGTGGTTATGATGATGATGAAGGTGGTGGTTATGATGGTGGTGGAGGTGGTTATGATGATGATGATGGTGATCATCATGATGATGATGATGGAGTTGATGATGTTGATAATGATAGTAATTATGGTGAATATGGTGGTGGTGGTGGTGGTGGTGATGATGGAGTTGATGATGAGGATGAGCCATCAGGTTTGTGTTTGTAACAGTAGTCATGGATGTGCTCAGTGATGTTAATAATGGTGCACATTATGATGATAATGATGATGATAATGATAATAATACTAATAAACATGATAAATGGTATGATGATGATTGTGGTAGCGTTGATGGTAATGATGATGATGGTGGAAAAGTGGGTGGGACAGTTAATTTGAAAAACATAAGATAATAACATGATTTTTATCAAAATCATACTTTCATTTAGGCTTTCCAATACTCCCTCTGAATATTCCCACTCTCCTAAAACTCATCCTAACCCAATTTTTCTTCAGGTGGCCAGTGGAGTTATGGTTGGTCTTCTGACATTTTATGCTGCAGCAGCAACATTCCTTGGATACCTCGGAGGTGGCAACATACCCAAAAACATCAACAACAACAATAGCAACAACAACTCTGATGCTTCCACAGAAACCTCCACAGACCAGCAACAAGGATCTGAATCTGATCAACTGCTTGCAACTCAAGTTTCGCTTCTAAGTGTTGCTACAACAGGTACTACTTCTACCACAACATCGACATCTCTGTCGTCGACACAAGATATTGAACAGGAGCCTGCAACATTGGATGCTCATTCGTCTTGATTTGGAAGGCAAGGTTGCAACATCAGCAATATCACTGAAATAGTACCTACCACACCTTCCACTTTGCCATCCACAATGTAATCACATTCAATAAGTATTATAATTTTTTCTTTTATTACACTGTGCAATATGATTGATTCATTGACTTAACAATTGTGTATCAATAATAGAATATCTCGTAGTCTACTATATGGCCCACAGCACACTATATTCATATGATTCAACTACGATCCAAGTTTGAAAGAATTGTGTCATTTAGTATAGAAATTTCCATGATAAATTCTTGCTGATTGAGGTTCACATTGGTCATGTGAATTGTAATAATTTATAATGTGCGGTATGGTCACTTCAAGAAAAAGTCAAATCTTAAGACTCTCTCAAATTTGAAGCCAATTGGGAATTTTCTCCAACTGAAATACCCCCAAAACCATGCATTTTCTTATTTATTATTTGAATGACCAATATCATCCCCAATCATGAAGGTTAAAGGTCACATACTAGCCATTTGGTTGAATTACCACTCAATTTGAACACAGGTCTCTCAGGGGCTGAACCTGTTGTCCCACCAGAAAATACTCCAGCTTGCCTTCATAACTCAAGGTTGAGGGAAGTTATATCATGATGAGAATTCCTTAGACAAGACATGTCTGTCATTAAAGTGAAGTCCACTCTTGGTGACTGACAGCACCCTTCGGTACACACCGAATGGTGTCAAATTCCCCATGAGAACCCACTATTATGAGCCTTTAAACTGTTAGAACCTAGTTATGTTGCCATTCCTCCTAAAGTATTATCATGGCTGTCAGATCATGATGTGTGTTGTGGGTTTATGATGTGACCTTACATGAAAATATACTTACGATACATGCATTGAAGAATGTTATAGAATTGTTTTGTTATCTCTCCAGTTATATGTTTTATATTCAAATCATGAGTATTACTGAATCGTTAATTTATTGAAAGTGTGTTATTACCACCTCCTTCCATTGCTAAGTCAATATAATTGGGTTGAATTATGCTTGTGTGTTGTGACTATTTTCTTTATAACCAATAGTGATCTGCTTTATCTGTACTTAACAACTTCACTATGGCATAATTCGCAATATAATCTTCATTTCATGATGAGTATTAAATTTAGGGGTGCTTAATTCTGCGAAAATAAGAAAGAAAAAAAATATAAAGTGCTCAAACATTTAGATTTTTATTCACACCTGATATACAGTCAAACCTGTCTATAGCGACCACCCAAGGGAAACACAAAAAGTGACCTTTGTAGACAGGTGGTCTTTGTAGACAGGTTCCTTAAGTACATGTCTTAATGAGAAACCATTTTCAAGGGAAACAAAAAATGTGGTCCTTGTAGACAGGTTGTCTTTGTAGACAGGTGGTCACTAAAGCAGGTTTGACTGTATAAAGACCACCAGGATACTTTCATGTCTCTCTTTAGTGGTCTGTATATACAGGATTCACTGTAACTAGCATTAGACTTAAGGGGGGGGGGGGGGCATTTCCAAACCATTTGCAGTGCTGCTTTAGCAATTTGAAGAGGAAAAATGAAACATTGCAAAGACTAGAGCTCACATTTCATGATGCACATTCTTTACTTGTTTAAAAACATCAAACGTACTTAATTTTGAAAGTCCTCTTCTCTCTCTTCCTCTCATTCTAATCGCTTCATGTTTTGTAGGTTATATTATTCTTCTTGTCTGTAATGATTTGTTTGAAGAGTGATACACATATATCAAACGCACCTAAATGGTGATTACATATGGAAATGACTAATTGTTCGTATCATGGTTTGTATTCAGAGTTGTGTTGTAATTCCTATATGTTTGCTGATATATTTCAAATATCTATTTATGTTGCAAGAGTGAAATTATTTTCTGCAGGGTTCAAGTTTCTTTGTTGAAGCTTTCTATAATTCTTACAGGCTAGAACTGAAAATATATTTAAAAAAGTACCTATTTATAACAATATTTGATCTGTCTTTGTAAGTTATCATAGTATGTAAATCAGAATGATGTCTTTCTTCATTACAAATTCTATAGATAAACTACGCTTGTATATATATATATATATTTACTTATTTATGATGTAAAGTTGTCATTCTCACTTGTGCAATACATTCCAATGTTGTAGTTAAGTTTATCTCTAAGTGCCTTGTGTTGCACAAGCAACAAAATCACACATGTCTTCCAAAATTGTGATCTTCCATAAGGCCATTTGTGCCTTGTGTTACTGTAAATATATTGTATTTGATAGTGGCTTTTGTAGTTAGAATTACATCTTGCTAACTTGACTAGATTGATAACACTTATCTTGTAAAGTTACATACCAGTATTTACTTTATGATAAAGTAATTATTTTGTATGACAGTGACTAATATAGATTTAGTTAGCTACCTTGAGTTTTAATTAATCTTCCTTGTATCTCTTATGTACCGTCACTCCCATTCTTTCTCTCTTTTCTCATCTACATATAATGCTCTCATACCCCCATCTCTCTCTCTCTCTCTCTCACTCTCACTCTCTCTCTCTCTCTCTCTCTCTCTCACTCTCTCTCTCTCTCTTTCTTTCTTTCCCTATAAAAATGTAGTATATTTCTGTGTAGATCTTGTGTTATAGTGACTTTTGAATTATTTCAAACGTTTTTTTTTTTTCTTCCTGTGCTTTCTCGGTCTGTTTGTAAATATAATTTTTGTCTTCTCTCCTTTTCTGCATATGTCACTTCTCTCTCTCTCTCCCGCTCTCTCTCTCTCTCACTAACTTACACTACATGATCTGTATATATATTTTTTTCTCTCTTTTTCTCTCTTTCTTCTTTCTCTTTCAGCTGTCTTTTCTCTCCAGCATTGTATAATGTTAATAGTGCTAAGTGATACCTTTATGACTTTATCAAGCTGTACCTCTAACTAGCTTACACTGCTCATGTATATTTTTCTCTCATTTCTCTTTCTTTTTATCTCTTTTATAAAATCTGTTCCTAATCTCTCTTTTCTATCCTTTGCTTCATCCTTTCTTGTAAGATGGCATTGGAATACTATTCTACATTGTAAATACATTGCAGTACTAGATGATACCTTTATTACTGGTACTCTACCATTATTAGTCTACCTTTACCGTCTGTAGATATAGAGGTGTCGTGGACGAGTGGATATGTCACCGGACTGTGGATCACAAGGTCCGCGGTTCAAGTCCCACTGCGGCACTAATGTCCTTTGGCAAAACGTTGATCTCTATTTGCCACTCGCCACCCAGGTGTTAAATGGGAAACGGGTGGGATGCAAAAGCTAATGCAAAAGCTTAGATTAGCAAGTGTGCGCTTGTAAAAATGACGCCTGGCTGGAATGCTCCCCAGGGAGTGGAGAATGTGCATACATTGTGTGCGGGTAAGCATGAATCCGATGACCGGGGTAATAATAATATATATCTGTAAAGCGCTTTGAGAGGGCCTTCGGTCCTGAAAAGCACTATACAAGAACTAGCTATTATTATTATTGTTATACATGTAGATGTAAGATTTATCTCTGTTTATCTTTCTTTGCTGAATGGGTCTTCCTTTTCTCGATTGCTCACCAGACGTGCCTTATGAACAAATATTTTATAGAGTCGAGTCGCAGAAGGTTGGTAGGACCATAGACGTTGTACATAAGACATTTAACATCATCTTGACACTCGACTACATGTACTAATGTAACAATCTTAGTGCATATTATCATTATTATATGCGTAGGCTTATTTTCATTGTTATGAAATGTTTGCCTTTTTTTTAACTTAAAGGTTCATGTGGCTATACTGGTAGCTAGGGTATCGACAACCTTAGAGGGTTAGCCTTTGCTTTTAGTTAATCTTATTGTCTGTTTGGAGCCAGAAGGGCGTTACATGTAACTCTGTGTAAAATTATATGGGTTTATAATAATAATAATATTTAATTTTTATATAGCACTTAATACAAATGTCTCTAAGCGCTTAACAAATATACTATTACCCCGGTCATTGGATTCAGTGCTTGCCCGCACACGCTGTGTGCACAATCTCCACTCCCTGGGGAGCATTCCAGCCGGGCGTTTCTTGACGCTCACAAGCTGTTTGACCAACAATAATACCCTTCTTGCTCCCAATAGACAATATGTGTTTCATGTATGCTGCAGGATGTATTGAACTCTCATTGTAGTGTAAAAATGTTATACATGCACTACACTTAATATGTACTTACGGGTACATTTTATATGGTATTTGAAAGTACAATTTATGAAGAGGAAAAGAAAGACCTTTATTGGAAAAGAAATATTTGTAACTTTTGGTAGTATGTTTTACATCACTATAAAAATATTGCATTTTCACCAGTATTCTATCATATATGGTAACTACCTTCAAGATGGAAATATATTTATCTTGAGTTGTAAAATAGCAATAACAAAATTATAAAAAAAAATGAAAATGTTATATTGAACACGATTACATGGACTTTCATGAAACTCACTTGAGGGTGATTCCAATATGCTTTTGTATTGCCTATAAAAATCTGTTTAGACTATGTAGTATGTCCATTGTTATGTTGACACACCAAATAGTGATTGACAAAGTTATTGAAATTGCCTTAAGTTAATTTGTTTTAAACTCTTTGTAATTATGTTCGTAGCTTTTTAAGATTGTTTGGTATATCCATGCCAAAACACCGAAGGGTGAACAGTGACTATTTCATCATCTTGTAACTTACAGAGCACAGCCCAATGGGGGCAGTGCAGTTACATGTACTTGTATATATTTCATTGTTAATAATTCATATTTTTGCCCATTACCCGAATGGAAATGTGTAGAAGTATTATAGGGTATGTTTGTAGATGTGGTTTAAAAATATATCTCTCTAGGTGCCATACATTTACCTATAGACTTTGGCAATCATGTTGTTCCACACCATTTTGGCTAGATCCTTTGCCATGTCAAGAATAGCTTGAAGATTTCTGATGACAGTTTCAGTTTGAGGATGATGATGTCATCGACAATGACAAGTAGATAATGAGAAATTTATTTTATACATACATGTATTACTCTATTGTCAATCTCTCTTTCTCCCTCTCTCCCTCTCTCCTAACTCTCTCTCTCTCTCTCTCTCTCTCTCTATCTCTCAATCTCTCTCTCTCTCTCTATCTCTCTCTCTCTCTTTCTCTCTCTCTATCTCACTCTCTATCTCCCTCTCTCTATCTCACTCTCTATCTCCCTCTCTCTATCTCACTCTCTACCTCTCTCCCTCACTCTCTATCTCTCTTTCTATCTCTCTTTCTCTCTCTATCTCTCACTCTCTATCTCTATCTCCCTCTCTCTATCTCACTCTCTATCTCACTCTCTATCTCCCTCTCTCTATCTCACTCTCTACCTCTCTCCCTCACTCTCTATCTCTCTTTCTATCTCTCTTTCTCTCTCTATCTCTCACTCTCTATCTCTATCTCCCTCTCTCTATCTCACTCTATCTCTATCTCTCTCCCTCACTCTCTATCTCTCTTTCTATCTCTCTTTCTCTCTCTCTCTATCTCATTCTCCATCTCTCTCGATCTCTATTTCTCTCTCTCACTCTCTATCTCTATCTCTCTCTTTATCTCTCTATCTCATTCTCCATCTCTATTTCTCTCTCTTACTCTCTCTCTTTCCCTCTTTCTTTGATTGTGTAAAGTGAAGAATGGAAAGTAGAACAAGAAAATTTTCAAACGCATATACTTAGTGAAAATGAACTTTGAAAAAAATTATCACTCTCCATGAGTATTGAAGATATATGCTTTTTGTCACAGTTACTAGAGCAATACTATTTGCATGTTTATGGACTAACTCATTATACACAAAAAGGCTGACACAGTAGTGCTTATGTGATGGTGTGTACAGTTTTGTAGTGCTTACAGATTCTCCTTTAGAAGCGAATAGGCTTTTATAAGTTCTTTCGATATGGGGAGCCATCATTAAAATTATTCGCTCTTTTCCCTTTTTCTTTTAAAATCTAGTTTTTGTGGACAAGCGTAAATGATTGAATGAAAGAATGATTAATAACTAGGACAAATAATAATCATGAACTTAACAACAAAATGTTGATATTCTCTTCCTTGTGTAGTAATCATAGCACATCTAAAGCTGAATAAATAAAAACATATTCGATCAGAATCGTAAATACATTGTGGCATTGTTTCTTGTGATGTTTCTCTCCAAAATTGTTGGTCTTTGATGTTGATGATGCTAATGAACTGCCAGAGCTGGTGACTAAAAAATAATGTGAGAAAATGCTGTATTTTGATGGAATTAATTAACAGTTGATTTGCCACCACGGGCGGGGCACCGGTAGACCAAGTTTTTGGAAGGTTGTGTAGGAACACAAAGAAAAAAAATGAATTAAAAAAAGAAAAGATATATATCTAATATGGTAGAGGCCTATATGATCTATATAGCCCACGTGACCGATAATGCCTGCATTTGCATTTGAACCCTCAGAAAACTCGCGAGACTGTCATGACAGTTGGTATATACGCTGTCTGTCTTTTGGACTAGCTGTAGATGCATAAAGTTCTTCAATTATGGAGATTTGCCGAGAAGACTCAACTAAAAATCGAATATTACCGATTGAAAGTTTTCATTGGGGGAAGTTGTCTTCCCGGCCCTCTGAAATTAAAACATTCGCCATGGAATCAACAAGAAGAGATTCAATTCCTCTTTGTTTCCAATAATCAATAAAAAGTATACAAAACAGACAGAAATGTTTTAATTTATATATTTGAGATAGAATCAAAATATAATGCTGTATGGGGATATGTTTGTAAAGCGATTGCCAATTAAGATATCTATTTCTGAGTTGCTGACAATTTCCCTGACAAAATAAAAACGTCCAAGCACGATTATAAAACTTGAAGAGTGGACAAAAAAAGATCAATTATATTTATCATCCTGCTCATGCGCATTGCAGATATACAGTGCGTCCCAGAAAAAACGAAACCGAGAATTATCGATGTTTAATCATAACTTAGTCACATTTATAATTAATACATGACACATATTTGGAAAGGTTAGATCCTTGATATGATGCATATTTCGCATGAGTGACTGAAAGCAATTTGAAGAGAGGAAACCAACAAGTCATTTGGCGGACGGTACCTGAATTTCAAAGAGAAAATCACATTTCTAGAAAGTTGAGTTTCTGCCCTTTCTTATGACACCTCAATCAGGAAAAATGAGCAAGGAATGAAAAAGTTTTGTCTGTTTGAAGTAGTGCTTGCTTTTCCATAATTTTATCAAACGAATTCATTTTCACTGCATGCCTGCCGTAGCAACAAACAGAGTTAACAAAATACTTAACTCCGTTTCGTTGACAATCAGCTACTCCCACTCGTCAAACATGCAACAGTTTTGATGTTCTGAGAAAAAATAAATCATTTAATACATAATATAGGTCGATCAGGTCCTATTCACTTTGCTGATTATTTTATTGCCTCTCCCGGCAGCAATATAATACCACAAAAATGTGATAAGAGAGATGCATGGATACAGGATTCTCTGGCAATAAATAAGGGCGAGAGCACAAGTCGTGTCTAAAAAGTTTGACAATTTTTACATTAAATCTGCTCTTTAGGCCTATGAGCACCAGTTATGGTGGGGAGATTCCCTTGAAGGGTTGGGGGAGGGGGTGGGGTGTGAAAGTATCATTCTCACCGAAGTTTGCTTTTCCACTTCAAAAATCGGTGAAACTCCGGCAGGTGAACTTTTCGATTTCGATATTTCATCATGTCGGCTATATATATGCAACTACCAACGAAACTCTGGAAAGTGAGAAAAATCGACGATCAAGTTGGGGTTGCAGTGTAAATGCAGCTAATATTTAGATTCCGGCTATAATACGAGTCTTATATTCAACCCACATCTCCATTAATCTCCGCTGGGAATAAGCCCAGCCAGCTTTCCTTTTCACGTCTTTCAACAATAATTAGGCCTACTATATAGTATCGTCCCTTTTAATGAAGAATATAACAATTCGAACATTTCAACATGAAAATTGGAAGTCAGATATGTAGAAATTATGGAGATTTTGACCAATGACCACAACACGCACAGTGGCGGATCCAGGAATTTCTTAACGGGGGGGGGGGGGGGGGCACAACATAGCATGGGGAGAAATATATATAAAACGATGGAGCGACCAAGCGGGGATGGAACCCCCTCCCAGAGTAGGAAGCATTTGCAAGTTTAGAACCACATTAGGCACATTTTTAGGCACATCCTGGAGTAAGATTAAATTTTAAAACGTTAAATTCCACGCGAAGCTTTGATACTTATTATTAGAGATTATTATTTGTACCGTTCCCGACTCTACTTCTTGTTTTGCCCCTACCACGCGAAGCGCAGGAGCTATTACGTTTATTTAATTATTGGAGAAAGAAGACGATTCGTTGTACCGTTCTCGGCTCTTGATCCTTGTCTGAGTTCAGTTTTCCCCCTACGGCGCGAAGCGCGGAAGCTTTGACGTTTCATTAAATTATTAGAGAAAGAAGACGATTCGTTGAACCGACTCTTAATCATTCTCTGAATTTTCAAAAATGTTTCTTTGTCCGATAAAAAGTCACAGTTCGTAGGGAAAATTAAAAACTTTGCCGGCGGCCGACCGACATAATACATGTCATCGACTTCAAACTTCTGCATTGATATACTGTGCTACACGAGGATCGAGCACGAACACCGACACAGCGGACAAGACACAGCAACATAATTACCTTTGCGTATCTGTCTTGCCCCCTCGACGTCTCTCCTCTCTTTAATCCCCCGTTTCTCTCGTTTCCCTTTTCTCTTTTTTTTTCCTTTTCTCCTTTTCTTTTCTTTTTTTTTTTTTTTTTCCTTTCTTTCCTCTCCTTCCTTTTTTTTTCTCAGTCTCTTTTTTCTCTTCTCTTTCCTTTCCTTTCTTTTCCTTTTCTTTTTTTCTTTTCTTTCTCTTTCCTTCTCATTCCCCCCCCCTTTTCTCATCCCCCCCGACAGCAGCGCAATTTTACCGAATATATCCTAACAGGTCGCACCCCCACCTATTAGCGACGCTCCTGGTTGTCATCACATTATTCTTATAAAAGAAAAGCAATTACTCATGCTTTCGCACCTCTCTTTTACCGTTTGTTTGGTTCTCTTTCATTTGTTTTCCTTTCTCCTTCAACTAACAAAAATTCTCTCTTTTCCCCTTTTTTCAATCTTTTTTGTGGTCGTTCTTCTCGTGCTTTTTCTTTTTTTTTAATGGGGGGGGGGGGGGGGGGGGCTACACGCCTGGCAAAAGGGACCCCATATTATGCACACTGCAAAATAACGTACCCCCCCCCCCATTTTCCTAAAAAAAAAGAGAAAACCTTATAATATTATTCCCCTTTCTTTCTTTTCCCTTCTCACCGTTTTCCTTTTCCCCCTTCAGTTCTCTCCTCCGTCTTTTCAGCTTTCTTTCTTTTCCGCCTTTTCTCTCCTCTCTCTTTCCCTTTCCCCCTCCTTTTTCTCCTCTCCCCTTTTCTCTACTCCCTCTTTTCTTCTTAATTCTTCCTCTCTTCCCTTTTCCTTTCTTTCCCCCTCCTTCCCCCCCCCCCCCCTTTTCTCCCTTTTTCTTTTCCCTTCCCCCCTTTCCTCCCTTTTTTTTTTACCGGGGGGCACGTGCCCCCTGTGCCCCCGTGAATCCGCCACTGACGCAGATACTCGATCGAAACAACATTTAGCTTTCAACTCATTTCTATGCCACAACCGCATATTGACAGTCGGTAATATATTATTAGGGGATTCGATCCCCATGACGTAATTACAAGCGCGTTATAGGGCGTGGCATTACGGGGTGTAAAAACTCGGCTGGAAACCGATCAGGTGGATCAGGTGCATGGCACATGGTTTCTGCCGCGCGAGAGTCTTTCCGTCTATATTGTCATGCCAGTGTAGTATGAGTAGTTTTTTAAACGTCATTGGTGTAAACAATCCCAATGTCGCAGTCGAAGTAATTGCTAGTTTCTCAACATTGACGATCGAGACCGAGGAATCTTGATTTCCATCATCCAATTCATGCAGCTGCCCATCCAGAGCCAGGCTGGTCTCTAGAAATGACTCTTCCGTAAAATAAATCCGGAAACCCCCATTCGCTCCGATCCGTATTAAGTAGCGCTTCATTGGCTTCGTCCCACGCATTCTTCCCAACAGCCAGCTCCGGCAGCTAGACACGTACACATGTGCATAGGCACGAACGAGCGCGAGTGGTTTCCAAAAAATAACCGTCTGGTAAGTATGGGGATACCTTTCCTATATTACTGACATTAGTGAACCTTCTCAAAGTGTGTGTGTGTGTGTGTGTGTGCACTTGTAATGACCGTCAATCGGGGAGGTTCATATGAATACACAACTTCCAACTGTGGAGACACAGCAAACCGTGGAGCTCCACAGTTGCAGAATCATTAAAACGAGATTTAAATCAGCTTTGGGACATCTCAGTAGTACCCCATCAACGTTCGGCTGCGATTTAACTCCATCCCCGGTTTCCCACTTTGGAGTCATAGCTTGCAGCCTGAATATGTGTATTATTTTCCGATCTCAAGAATAATATCAAGTGAAGAGCGCCATCATGAGGATACACACTGCACAGTCTGTATCTTATTAGATGCAGCGCATGCGCAGTGCTGGTGCAGTGCACCTTGCGACGTGCCTGTTAACGTATATGGACATGTCATGGCGGGATTAGTACAGCCACAACTGGCAAAAGTAAGTAGAACTTGTCTAGATCTAGAAAGTTTACTTTCATTTTTAATCCAGTCTAGGCCCATTAATATTCTATCAACTTTTTAAAGAATTCCTTAGGCCTATAGATCTAGTTCTATTCATGATATTGGGTACAAAAAACTCATACATACTAGGTCTAGATCTAGATCTAATCTAGATCTAAGTAAGATGTAGATCTAGATTCTAGGCCTAACGTTAGGCCTAGACCTAGACTAGTACTACTAGTCTAGGCTACTAGTAGTAGATCTAGGTCTAGTATAAGTTCTTCTTAGGCCTAACTTTAGAGTTAAACTAAAGGAATATCTAGTAACGTTAGATTTGAAGGTCTATTTCACATCAGCCAGATTTAGCCTAAATGTGTGCATGGGAAATGTGGAGCCATAGGTCTAGGCCTATCTGTAAATAACTCACATGGGTCAGATGTGTATAAATGTGTGCATGGGAAATGTGGAGCCATAATAATCTGGGTCAGATGTGTATAAATGTGTGCACGGGAAATGTGGAGCCATAACTAGATATAGATCTACATGGGCAATATGTGTTTAAATGTGTGCATGGGAAATGTGGAGCCATATATATTACACATGGGCCAGATGTGTATAAATGTGTGCATGGGAAATGTGGAGCCATATATATTACACATGGGCCAGATGTGTATAAATGTGTGCATGGGAAATGTGGAGCCATATATATATATATATTACACATGGGCCAGATATGTATAAATGTGTGCATGGAAAATGTGGAGCCATGTTTAACTGAACTATTTAAGGTGGATTGAAGATTTATAAATGTGTGCATGGGAACTGTGGAGCCATTATACATGGGCCAGATTTGTATAAATGTGTGCATTGGAAATGTGGAGCCATATCTATATATTTTATACATAGGCCAGATGTGTATAAATGTGTGCATGGGAAATGTGGAGCCATATATATATAGATCGACATGGGCAATATGTGTTTAAATGTGTGCATGGGAAATGTGGAGCCATATATATATATATTACACATGGGCCAGATGTGTATAAATGTGTGCATGGGAAATGTGGAGCCATATATATATAAATATATATATATTACACATGGGCCAGATGTGTATAAATGTGTGCATGGGAAATGTGGAGCCATATATATATATAATGGGCCAGACGTGTATAAATGTGTGCATGGGAAATGTGGAGCCATATCTATATATATATATATATATATATATTACACATGACCCAGATATGTATAAATGTGTGCATGGAAAATGTGGAGCCATGTTTAACTGAACTATTTAAGGTGGATTGAAGACTTATAAATGTGTGCATGGGAACTGTGGAGCCATTATACATGGGCCAGATTTGTATAACTGTGTGCATGGGAAATGTGGAGCCATATATATATATATATAATGGGGCAGACGTGTATAAATGTGTGCATGGGAAATGTGGAGCCATATCTATATATATATTACACATGACCCAGATATGTATAAATGTGTGCATGGAAAATGTGGAACCATGTTTATCTGAACTATTTAAGATGGATTGAAGATGTATAAATGTGTGCATGGGAAATGTGGAGCCATATATATATTACACATGGGCCAGATGTATAAATGTGTGCATGGGAAATGTGGAGCCACATAAATATATTACACATGGGCCAGATGTGTATAAATGTGTGCATGGGAAATGTGGAGCCATATATATATATTACACATGGGCCAGATGTGTATAAATGTGTGCATGGGAAATGTGGAGCCATATATATATATTACACATGGGCCAGATGTGTATAAATGTGTGCATGGAAAATGTGGAGCCATATATATATATTACAAATGGGCCAGATGTGTATAAATGTGTGCATGGGAAATGTGGAACCATATATATATATTACACATGGGCCAGATGTGTATAAATGTGTGCATGGAAAATGTGGAGCCATATATATATATTACACATGGGCCAGATGTGTATAAATGTGTGCATGGGAAATGTGGAGCCATATATATATTACACATGGACCAGATGTATAAATGTGTGCATGGGAAATGTGGAGCCATATATATATTACACATGGGCCAGATGTGTATAAATGTGTGCATGGGAAATGTGGAGCCATATATATATATTACACATGGGCCAGATGTGTATAAATGTGTGCATGGGAAATGTGGAGCCATATATATATATATATATATTACACATAGGCCAGATGTGTATAAATGTGTGCATTTGAAATGTGGAGCCATATATATATATTATACATGGGCCAGATTTGTATAAATGTGTGCATGGGAAATGTGGAGCCATATCTATATATATTATACATGGGCCAGATGTGTATAAATGTGTGCATGGAAAATGTGGAGCCATATATATATATTACAAATGGGCCAGATGTGTATAAATGTGTGCATGGGAAATGTGGAGCCATATCTATATATATATTACACATGACCCAGATATGTATAAATTTATGCATGGGAAATGTGGAGCCATATATATATATATATATTACACATGGGCCAGATGTCTATACATTTGTGCATGGGAAATGTGGAGCCATTTATATATTACATATGGGCCAGATGTGTATAAATGGGTGCATGGGAAATGTGGAGCCATGTTTATCTCAACTATTTAAGGTGGATTGAAGATGTATAAATGTGTGCATGGGAAATGTGGAGCCATATCTATATATATTACACATCAGCCAGATATGTATAAATGTGTGCATGGGAAATGTGGAGCCACATTTATTATTGCATATGGGCTAGATATGTATAAATGTGTGCATAGGAAATGTGGAGCAATCTATATCTATTGCAAATGAGTCAAATATGATAAGATGTGTGCATGGGAAATGTGGAGCCATGTATTTACATGACCCCCTTGATGTACATCATAATGGATGTGTTTCATAATACCTCATGATTTTAACAAATAATATAATAAAATTGAGCATGGATATGAGTAGCAATATTTTGGCAAATTCCAGTATGATAAGGGGGAGGATGTGGGAGGGGGGGGGTGTAATATTTAGATATTTTCTTCCAGCTTGCTCACAGCTGTGTTTCTGCATAATATTACTAATATTTACTTGACCTGTTTCAGAATCGGATTCTCAGAAGTCAAACCAGACAGACAGTTCCAGATATTTTTAGTGAAGTTGATCCTGAAGGATTTACAGTGAAACAGCTGCCTGACAAAGGTGAGTGAGGTTACATACATGTACATGTAGATTGTATTAATAGTGAAAATTCACTGTAGCATAGATATCTAACATTAATATGCTCAATAAAATATTGATTCAGAGCTAGACTATGCAAGGAACGCCTGGTATGGTTCTTTGATCACACCTCATCGCCTATTGTCTGAAAATCACCAGCTCTTTTCAGAGTAACTTTGATACCCTTCGCAGTTAAACAGGTCAACTTCTTTAGTAAAATCTATACCCTTTCTGTATATTTCATTAATTTCATGCAGTAGAATATTTGATATGCTTTCCCTCATATTTTTCTGTTTTTATAATCTTAATTCAACACTTAATTGCGTGAAGCAGTCTTCAGTGGCAAAGTGTTGAAAATAGAATCAATTACCACTACTGCATTTTCGTCTACAAAATACTCAATAATCTAGCCCCTTATTTAGAATCTTTTGGTCATAATCGTCCAGTTTACTTTGTTACTTGTCATTCTACCTTAAATCCCTTATTTATCCTGAAACCAAAGACTGAATTTAAAAAACGTTCTTTTTCTTTCACTGCTCCAAGCATCTATAACAATCTACCGACTCATATTCGCACGGCAACTTCACTCCAAATGTTAAAAAACCAAATTAAGTCACTCCCTCTATCACTTTAATGCATGCACTGGTACCTAATGTTATATCATGACTTTTACCATAAGTTAGTTTTGTTTGTTTGTCTGTTTGCAGTTGTGTAGTCTATTTTTACGGCATGTGTATTTTTTAAAATATTTTTTTGGTCATTTTTCTTTGTATCAATAATATCTTAAATATTTAATATTTAAGGCCTTTTGTTCATTTTGATCTAGTTTTTATTTTTTTAAAGCTTTTTTTTAATGTTTTCTACAATGTATTCTATTTTTTTGTAAATATTTGTATGTACAGGGCTCTTTTGTAAAGCAGGAGGTATTAAACTTGATTTGGTTAAGTGTTTAAAGGTTAGACCTTGAAATGAATTTTAATGCCTCCTCATGGGGTTGAATGTCAAAAAGTTTTTAGAAAATCTAGAGAAAACGTCATGTTCATCATGACATGCATGACACTGTAATTTAATATCTGCAGCATACTAATATTAAATACAGTGTGTTGCTTAAAAGTCTGCTTGATGGCAATGTGACCAAAAAGACACACAAATGTTATTTAAAACTCAACCAATTTTGAAAATAAGTGCCTTCTTACAAGTACGAGTCCGAGTTACTTATCACACCTGAGCATTATCTTAAATGACAGACAAATATACTTGTAACATCATATTCACAATGTTTAAACTCGCATGATTGATCTCATGAAGATTATGTATTTCTTCAATCACAGGTAGAGCAGTCTTTACCACCAAAACGTTTGAAGAGGGAGAATTCCTTTTGTGGTACAGAGGAGATCTGGTAACCAGAGATGTGGGGGAAAGAAGAGATGCAGACTGTGAAACTTGCTTCAGATACTTTTTCACATGGAAAGGGACGAAATGGTGGTAAGTCTACATACTATGACGACTTGATTTATTGAAAAGTATATTTTGTAATGATAGGTGTTGAAAACAAACCTAAGGCTATATGCTTATGACGTAGTCGTAAACATGTGGGTTGACAGGGCAACATATTTTCTACCAGTGGTTTTTGTTTTTTCCCTAGAGAAAGATCGAAAGCTAGTCATATCTGTCAAATTCTATTCCGTGCTTTTGAATAAACCCGTGGACTGACCACATACAGTACACATACAGTTTTCTGCAGAAAGTATCAATACGGCAAGGACAGCATAGAACAAATATGCAACTTATATTCTTCTCTATCTATTCAAACCTGTTTTAGCTATCATACAAAAAACACAATCTTACCAATGACAATTATTCTACCTTGTCAGTCCAACAGATCATATTCCATTTTGGAGAGCATAAAATGAGAATATAAAACAATATTTGGTACAAATATTGGATATAAAAGAAAGGTGCATTACACTGAAAAGTCCATGTTTTTTTTTTGTACACTCCACATTTCATCTTACAGATGAAACAGATTCGGAAATTTCTATGCAACTTGCACCACCTCCCTCTCCCTCCAGTGAAGTTTTAAATGATGAAACAGATTCGGAAATTTCTACGCAGCTTGCACCACCTCCCTCTCCCTCCAGTGAAGTTTTAAATGATGCTGGTTCATCAGTTCCCTGCAATATGTCATCGGAAGACTCTTTTTCTACTCCCCCTTTCTTCTACACCTCATCTTCACTTCAGTCTGATATTACTTCATCTGTTCATTCATTACTTCCCCTAACACCTCCCCGCACCCCCCAATCAACCCCTCACACAACCCCTCCCTCAACCCCTCGCCTAACCCCTCTCCCAACCCCTCTCCCAACCCCTCCCTCAACCCCTCTCCTAACCCCTCGCTCATCAACTCCTCATTCAACTTCTTCATCTGCTTTGTCTCCTCCTCTCCCTTCCCATCCTCCTAATTCATTTCTTTCAATGTCTGTTGTCCAGCGTCATCCTCGCATTGTAGCTGGATTTCTCATTTCGCTACTCCTGCTTGTTGTCTTTATACATCTTCTGCTTTTAATTTCTGTTATCCTTCTTTGTTAAATGTTCATCATTCATTTTGTAATTTCCCAAATTTCCTCTTCTTTATAATCTGGGAAGATGATCTGAGATGGGCCAACATATGTCAAATGGTAAGATTTACTGAAAAATCATTTGAAAACTTGAGAACAAAAATCATACAGTTGGTAAACATAATCTTCATTGAGGATGTAGTTTTCAATGCACAATTCAAACCCTGCATTGGATTTCCTGCTTTCTTTGCTCATTCTAAAATAATATAACACTGCATACATGTTTGGTCCGTTTGATATGAATTCAGGTTTGTGCTAGTAGCCACTTTTTATATTGTATTCTTTATTTGCTTTTTGGAGCTACGTTCCACTTTTAAAGATTAGATAGATTATTTTCTTCTTTCCCCCCTCATTCTACACGTCTGTTCTTGTTTATCATAATGCTTTTTTTCCTTTTTCCCATGCTATTTTTTAATCTTTCCTCATCTCTCCCTCCCTTCTTCTCCTTGGACTCATCTTTCTTCTCCGCATGTTCCTTCTCCCCTGCCGAAGCCTTCTTCCATCTCTCCCACCCGGTGTAAACATCTTGTGGATAGATATGTCCGAAATTGTACATTTTCCCTTTAGTCTGTTGCCTCTCCTTGCCCTTTCCCCAATTTGGTCGCTTCTCTCTCTTTTTTGTTATTTTTGTTATACCATGTAATGTCTTTGGCTCTCGTATTTCAGAGGGTCTAGAGAGGATATATTTTGTTCGCAATGCTGTTGCCCGTGGCTTGTAGGGCGTGTCGTTATTCGACCTTTGTGTTTTTTTTGTTTTGTTTTTGTTATTTGTATTTATATTGAAAAAATCTTCCACGGTTAGTTCGTCGTCTTTTTTCGCCTCGGTACTCTTGTCTGATGCACGGTGACATTTTGTAGCATTACAATTTTAAGGCAAATGAAAAGTAAACATATGCATGTTTAATGTTCATGATATTGGTTATGATTTCCAATGCCTACATGTAATGTTACCTATTTGTTTCCTATGTTACTTGTATTTCAAATTTCCTCCTAAAATTAACCATGCGTTAACAAAAATCATGACTGTAACGATTCTTCTTTGAGTGATACCCTACTTGAAAAGTAACAGTTAATCAAATAATATCTGACAACAGAGAAAACCTAAAGTGAAATCACAAATTGTAACCCACATATACTTGTATGTTTCAGTGATTCATTGTAATTTTAAACATTGATGAATCTAATGTTTTCATTTTTTTTCAATTTCATTTCCAGTAGGGATGCATCAGTCGAACCAACTAAACAACAACTGGGACGACTCGTCAACCATGGTTGGAGGGGTGAAGTCAACAGCAGAATGAAGATTAGAGAGAACCCTCACAATGAACCAGAACTGGTTCTCTTCTCATTGAAGAAAATCAAAGAAGGTGAAGAAGTGTTATATGATTATGGGGTGGGAGATAATTTTGTATTCCCAAGTCCTACTCAATTACACAGTGGAGTCCAAGATGAAAAACCTGAAATTCTGCAAAATTCTGCAAACCTCCCACCAGACCCAGAAAAAGTTTGTTCACCATTCTACGAGCCTGCCACACAAGAACTACTGGAACCAGATGGAAACTTTTCACAGTCCAATGTTCGAGCTGATGATGATGAAACATCTGAAGATCGATGCAGAAACCCCCCTAATAACGAAACAAATTGGGAACCATCCCCTAAGCCTGCCACACAAGCTTTAATGGAATCAGATGGTAAGATTTCACAGTTCAGTGTTTCAGCTGATAATGATGACACATGTGATGATCCATGCCGGAACCCCTCTAATAACCAAGAACATTGGGAACCATCCCCTGAGCCTGCCACACAAGCGTTAATGGAATCAGATGGAAAGCTCTCCCAGTTTGATGTTCCAGTTGATAATGATGACACATGTGATGATCCATGCATAAACCCCCCTAATAACCAAGTGCATTGGGAATCATTTACTGAGCTTGCCACACAACCTTTAATAGAACCAGATGGAAACCTTCCACTTTCCAATGTTCTAACTGATGATGCTGAAACATCTGATGATCTATGCAGAAACCCCCCTAATAACGAAACAAATTGGGAACCATCCCCTGAGCCTGCCACACAAGCTTTAATGGAATCAGATGGAAAGATTTCACAGTTTAATGTTTCAGCTGATAATGATGACACATGTGATGATCCATGCATAAACCCACCTAATAACCAAGTGCATTGGGAACCATTTACTGAGCTTGCCACACAACCTTTAATGGAACCAGATGGAAACCTTTCACTGTCCAATTTTCTTGCTGATAATGATGACACATCTGATGATCTATGCAGAAACCCCCCTAATAACCGAGAGCACTGGGAACCATTCCCTGAGCCTGCCACACAAGCATTGATGGTACCAGATGGAACCCTTTCACAAAATATTTTTTCAAGTGATAATGAGGACATATTATCTGACCATAATGATGATAGTGATGATGATCCAGACTATGTCTGTGATTCTCAAGGAGATTCTGACTCTTCAGGGAAGACTTCATTAAATAATTCTCAAGCATCATTGCCTAAGGCTAAATGTACATCAATAAATGGCATCACTCGATCACTGAAATCTCTGTCATCAGATCAGTCATTGGAGGCATCATCAAGATATGGAGGCATTGATGCTGACCATGAGGGGATAACTGTGATGAAGACCAACAATCAAGGAGGGCGAAAATATGACAAGGTAGCTTATTGCATGATGTGTGAGAAGCCCCACAAAAAACTTCCTGATCACCTGCGGTCACAACATTCCAATGAAATAAAGGTGGCGCAATACATGGCAGCAACGAATCGAAAAGAAAAGGATAAGCTATTGACATTGATAAGAAATAAAGGAAATCACATGCACAACTACAGGGTCTTCGAAAAGGGTCATGGAGAGCTTGTGGTCGTATATAGACCTTCTTGTGAAGCAAAGCCCCGTGATTATCAGCCTTGCAAAGATTGTTTGGGATGGTTTGCGAAAGCCGAATTGTGGAAACACCGCTGCATTTTGAAGCAAGAAGAGCCGGCTAAGGAGCAAAAGAAAAAACGAAGAAGACTATTAGCACAAGGTCGACTCTTGCTTCCACCAGTGCCCTGCACATCAAGAGATTCTATAACACACAAAGTACTGAGTGGTCTCAGCGATGATGAAATCAAGGCCTGCATTCTAAATGATCAGTTGATTCTAGAATTGGCCAAGGTGTACTCTAAGAAATTGGGCCATGACGAAGAACAGCACAACCACATCAGATGCAAGTTACGAGAACTAGGAAGACTTGTACTTCAGTTCAGACGTTGCAGCTGCAATGGCAAGGCAAGTCTGACTTCCCTGATATCACCAAATGGTTTTATGACTGTCTTGAGTGCTGTCAAGAAAGTGGCAGGCTTTGATGAGGAGAACCACTTGTTCAATACACCAAGTCTAGCACTTAAGCTGGGACATACCTTAAGAAAGGCTGCCTTTGTGCTCCTGAGTAAGGCTTTGATGGACAGAGATGGGGATGACATGCAGAAACTTGTAGAAAAGTTCATCAAGCTGCTTGACACTTGTTGGGGATCTGAAATCTCTACTCATGCTCTACGAACTTTGTACCAGAGGAAACGAAACCAGCCCAAACTCCTACCCCTAACGAGTGATGTTGTGGCTTTGTCAAGACACCTAGAGGTACAGGCTGAACTTTGTGTAGACAAACTGTCATCTGGGACCGCAATCGAAAACCATAGCACATGGAGAGAACTCAACAAGACCATGCTGGCTCATCTCATTGTGTTTAATAGGAGGAGACAAGGAGAAATCAGCAAGATGACTCTTGATGACTACAATAAAATCAAGAAAGGTGAATCTCATATGGTGGAAGGACAACTAGAGATGCTGAAAGACTGGGAAAAAAATCTTGTAAAGTTTCTCTGGAGAGTTGAGGTAGTAGGAAAACGTGGCAGGACAGTGCCGATCCTTGTGACAGACTCCATGAAATCATGTGTAGACACCCTTGTATCCCACAGGGAGGAAGCAGGTGTAAACCCAAGCAACAAATACCTGTTCGCCGTAGCCAATAGTGACACTACATCTCATGTTCGAGGGTCAGATGCTCTCCGTGAGCTGTCAGAAGCATGTGGAGCACAAAATCCTTCAACACTTCGATCCACAAAATTACGGAAGCATGTAGCTACCATGTCACAACTAATGAGCTTGAGGGACCATGAGATGGACGCCTTAGCAAACTTCATGGGCCACGATATTAGGATACATAGGGAGTATTATAGACTGCCAGATGCTGCTATGCAGGTGGCCAAAATATCAAAGATCCTGTTCGCCATGGAGGGAAAAGCTGGGAACCCGGTCCAGCTGATTGGCACTGCAAAAAGTCTGGATGAGCTTCAAATCAAGTTAGATGAAGGTAAATTTGTGATGAGGGTAGAATTATACAGTGGGGATCTCAATCCAAACCCTAATGCGATGAGAAACATCATGGCGAGGGATGAGTGGGATGAATAACAAACCATGTAGCATGTACTAATTTTAAGAATCAAGTATTTCTGATTTCCACTCAACTTGACAATTATCAAATACAAAATATGTAAATTGATAAACATGCTGCAACATTATTGAATTAATGAAAAGTGTTGTTTTCAAATGAACCATGCAGTTAAATATTCCTCACTATATTGTTCACTTGTTTGTTTCAATTTATTTAGATTAGGGGTAATTAAGGCATTTGTTTGACTCGATCCACAAATGTAGCATATACCTGGTGCCAATTCTACCATGTTGTATTTAGAAATAATTGATTATATTCTTTTGTTTTAAATTACAAGTATGTTTTCTTTGCAGTTGACCCAGATTTTCTTTTTGGTGAATATTATTGATTATTATTTTATGTACAGAGATCGACACTGGAGAACAGGGACCTGAATCATGTGATGACAATTGTGACAGCGATGTTGATTCTGGTGATCATGATGTCGAACGTCAGCTACCTGGATGCTCCCAAAAAGGTATGACTTTAAGTCCAATGAGAGCATCTAAAAAATTTCTTTTTGCAAACCTAAATGTTAATTTTGCCTATTGTACCGCACTCTCAATCATCCTCAAAAGCCAAAGTGAAACCAAACTTTTTCCGTTGAAATCACCACGTACCAATATTTGTGCATTTTGAATTGTTAAAAATTATAGCACAATTATAATTGTAATGTAGCCTCACAAAAAGGCTGTTGCCAATGACGGAGAAAATCTATTAGTGAATTTAATTGGTCTCTATATCTAAACTTCTCTAAACTAAAAAAAAATTGTGTACATACAATAATATAGACTCAGAAAGTATTATGTGATCGTGGCCCTTTTGTTCTAGACTGGGAGTCAGGGGTTGTCAAGGTAATACAAAATGTACTTTTTTTCATGCACACAGCAATCACTACAATATACTAGGAAATGGATGAAAATGGAGGCAGCCAGGAGCCCCTCCCAAATAAACCCAAAACTGAGCTAGATTAGCAAAATAAATGACCAATAGAAACCGGGTAGAATATGTGAAACATAACCCCATCTGTCATGACACTGTCAGATAATTTAAAGACTTGTTTGTGCCCGACTCCCCTAAACGGTACATGCCCATAATTTCACGAAATATGAGCTTTACAAAATTATATGATGGCTTTCTTCCCGCTAAAAAAAATCGTTTAAGTGTATTCCTCCCAGGATCACACTCTATTCTGCATCACTGCAAAAGAGGATTTAAATATTCTTCCTCTCCTTCCATCCTCATAACAGTAATGCACTCTTCAAGTTCATGGGTCAGAGACTCAGAGAAACAGTATGTGATACTGCATTTATTATTCTGCATAGTATAATTGCAACATTTTTTTGTTATTGTCTTTCATTAGGTACCAAAAGGCAAAGGCAAACGCAACATGTACTGGAAGAGGTTGATGAACAGCCAATAAGGAAGAAACGAAAGACAGCATGGAGCGATGCGGAAAAGTCGGCTGTCCAGAGACGTTTAGGAGCCTTTATGACTGTTCATTCTAAGCTACCTGGCAAGAGAGCGATAGACGAATGCTTGAAAGCTGAAGCTGTGCTGAAACACAGAACGTGGGTCAACATCAAAGACTACGTAAGAAACTCGAAGGTTACCAAAAGCAGAAAAACACAGCCTTGGTAAAAACATTCCCTTTAATATCAAATCACCATTTTTATATTGAATACACACATGCTTTTGTTTTGAGTCACCAAACTGCTGAAAATGCTCATAAATTACAAGGCATGTTCTTGTTATTACAGTCTAAAATGTGTATTCTTTTACATTTGGTTTCTCCATGTATTCATAAAATGTTTACCCACTCTACTGGCAAAGGATTTGTTATTTTGAGGTTTTATTATCATTTTTGTAGGCATCCGGCAATTTGTAATTGTGTTAGGGTCTTAGTGGACCTATGCTTGGCCACTCCCAGATATCAATGACAGGGAGCATATCGTTTAGGCAACATGTACTGATTACAATGAGAATTTTGCAGCATGAGTTGGAAATATCCTATTTGAACAAGAAAAAAAAAACATAGATTTTTTAACGAAATAAATCAGTGGAAGTTGTAATCAAACAGTCAAGTATTTGCATTTACATACCATAATGGCAGCATAAGAAGGC